TTAGCGTGTACCCCAAAGAAAAGTCAACCGATGTATGGAGAACTTTCATATGTTACCACGACGATGCGCTATAGGAGCAGAATTACATCAGCTTTGATATGGAGTTGCTGATTCTTTCTGAAGAGGAACTAAAGAAGGGACAGTCACTGTATATATGTCATTTCACATGAGAAGGGGAGGGCAAGGCAAGTAAATATAGCAGAAAGAATTAATTGAGTCTCCTCAATGGTGCACAGTGAGGTTGTGCATATTCACATAGTTGTGGCCCGTCCTCAGCAGACATAACTCTGAGTCCCAGCTTGAGTGTGAGTGTCCTCTGCTGGTTTTATTTAACTCTAGTTTAGTACTGACACCCCCACCCACACACACACACACACACACACACATAGACACACTGTGGTTTGGTGAGACCAGATGAACGCTGCTGGTAATGTTGCCCAATCTCACGAGAGAGGTCGGGTGGTATCCACAGGAAACGCTAAAGTTGTCTGTTGTTTTTACTTCCCTTCCTGTTGCGATTCACTGGCTCCTTTGACCCTGGCCAGGACCTAAACAAAATTTGCCGTTAGCAGTGTATAAAACATCTCTTCAGTAATAGTGACCACAATCTCTCCACCCTCAGTGAAAGGAAGCTCTGCCACTAATCATTTGTTAACAGCCCTGAAGTTAAATAAAAATGGTGCTCACTTTAAACGTTATAATGAAAAGTCTTGTAGGATTGGGAGAGTGGTTACTTAGTGAGGCCTGGGAGGGCAGCTCCCACCCTATCGGTCACAATATGAATCAGGGAGGAGAGTTAAGATGAAAGGAAGATATTGGTGATGTGGAGGAGTAGATAACTAGTGAAAAATAAATAATCCGTTTGATATAGCGCCTTTCACATCAGGCGGATGTCTGAAAACACTTCACAGGATTTACTGTCAAGTGTACTGACTGCGTTTTGTAAGCAAACTTGGCAGTCCCATTTTGCATACAGCAATGATGTCCCACAATGGGGGTGAATGATCAGTTTTATCTAGAGGATTGTTGGCTGGGACACTGGGAGAAAAACTCCTTTCTCTCTTTGGATAGTGCCTTGAGTTCTTTTTTGACACCCATCTGAAAGAGAGGCTGTCTAATCAGAGAAAGAGGGGGAACATACTTTATTATTAGCAAAACCCCTAAGCTTTACATAGCATTACATAAAATATCTAGCTTCCCCTTAAAGGCATCTATACTATTTGCCTCAACTACTCCTTGTGCTAGCAAGATCCACATTCCCACCACTCTCTGGGTAAATAACTTTCTTCTGACTTCCCTATTTGATTTATTGGTGGCTATTTTATATTTATGGCCTCTGGTTTTGGTCTCCCTCACAAGTAGAAACATCTTCTATATGTCTACCCAATCAAAACATTTCATAATTTTAAAGACCTCTATTAGGTCACCCCTCATTCTTCCCCTTTCAAGAGAAAAGAGTCCAAGCTTCTTCAGCCTTTCCTGATAGGTATAATCTTGCAGGTCCAGTATCAGCCTTGTAAATCTCCTTTGCAACTTCTCCAGTGCCTCTATATCCTTTCTATAATATGGGGACCAGAACTGTACAAATGTGGTTTAACTAAGGTTCCATATAACTTCCCAGCTTTTCATTTCTATCCCTCCAGAAATGAACCCCAATGCTTGCGGAGGCAAATTGGATCAGCAGACTATCATTATACTGTTCAATGTGTAGAAATACTCTCAGGAAATGCTACTACAGCAACACTTTGTCTTTAACAACAGAGGGGACTGGGAATGCCTGTTAGCCAATAGGTGGTGAAACATGGCAGTAGTGTGCAAGAGATAGAGTGAACTAAAGTTTTGCTGCTCTCGGCTTTGTGATGAAATATGGAATAGTAATAATTTCTTCAGGTTAATAATCAAACATTTCCACTCATTTTCCTTCTTTTCTATATTGCATATTTTTTCCTGACTGCTTGTAACTGCACACATAGCTGATGTTATAGTAACTGCTGATCCTGCTCTCTCTAGCTGGCCTCATCAGCCCCTGGAATATGCCACTATACCTCCTGACCTGGAAGATAGCTCCAGCCATCGCCATGGGCAATACGGTCATTGCCAAACCCAGCAAAATGACCTCAGTCACGGCCTGGTCTGCAAGGGGCCCGGTGCCTGCCCGGTCCCTGCAAGGCGTCCTGCGGGCCGGTCCTGCCCGGTCCCTGCAAGGGCCGGTCCCTGCAAGGGCCGGTCCCTGCAAGGGCCGGTCCCTGCAAGGGCCGGTCCCTGCAAGGGCCGGTCCCTGCAAGGGCCGGTCCCTGCAAGGGCCGGTCCCTGCAAGGGCCGGTCCCTGCAAGGGCCGGTCCCTGCAAGGGCCGGTCCCTGCAAGGGCCGGTCCCTGCAAGGGCCGGTCCCTGCAAGGGCCGGTCCCTGCAAGGGCCGGTCCCTGCAAGGGCCGGTCCCTGCAAGGGCCGGTCCCTGCAAGGGCCGGTCCCTGCAAGGGCCGGTCCCTGCAAGGGCCGGTCCCTGCAAGGGCCGGTCCCTGCAAGGGCCGGTCCCTGCAAGGGCCCTGCGGCGGTCCCTGCAAGGGCCGGTCCCTGCAAGGGCCGGTCCCTGCAAGGGCCGGTCCCTGCAAGGGCCGGTCCCTGCAAGGGCCGGTCCCTGCAAGGGCCGGTCCCTGCAAGGGCCGGTCCCTGCAAGGGCCGGTCCCTGCAAGGGCCCCCGGGTCCCTGCAAGGGCCGGTCCCTGCAAGGGCCGGTCCCTGCAAGGGCCGGTCCCTGCAAGGGCCGGTCCCTGCAAGGGCCGGTCCCTGCAAGGGCCGGTCCCTGCAAGGGCCGGTCCCTGCAAGGGCCGGTCCCTGCAAGGGCCGGTCCCTGCAAGGGCCGGTCCCTGCAAGGGCCGGTCCCTGCAAGGGCCGGTCCCTGCAAGGGCCGGTCCCTGCAAGGGCCGGTCCCTGCAAGGGCCGGTCCCTGCAAGGGCCGGTCCCTGCAAGGGCCGGTCCCTGCAAGGGCCGGTCCCTGCAAGGGCCGGTCCCTGCAAGGGCCGGTCCCTGCAAGGGCCGGTCCCTGCAAGGGCCGGTCCCTGCAAGGGCCGGTCCCTGCAAGGGCCGGTCCCTGCAAGGGCCGGTCCCTGCAAGGGCCGGTCCCTGCAAGGGCCGGTCCCTGCAAGGGCCGGTCCCTGCAAGGGCCGGTCCCTGCAAGGGCCGGTCCCTGCAAGGGCCGGTCCCTGCAAGGGCCGGTCCCTGCAAGGGCCGGTCCCTGCAAGGGCCGGTCCCTGCAAGGGCCGGTCCCTGCAAGGGCCGGTCCCTGCAAGGGCCGGTCCCTGCAAGGGCCGGTCCCTGCAAGGGCCGGTCCCTGCAAGGGCCGGTCCCTGCAAGGGCCGGTCCCTGCAAGGGCCGGTCCCTGCAAGGGCCGGTCCCTGCAAGGGCCGGTCCCTGCAAGGGCCGGTCCCTGCAAGGGCCGGTCCCTGCAAGGGCCGGTCCCTGCAAGGGCCGGTCCCTGCAAGGGCCGGTCCCTGCAAGGGCCGGTCCCTGCAAGGGCCGGTCCCTGCAAGGGCCGGTCCCTGCAAGGGCCGGTCCCTGCAAGGGCCGGTCCCTGCAAGGGCCGGTCCCTGCAAGGGCCGGTCCCTGCAAGGGCCGGTCCCTGCAAGGGCCGGTCTGCGTGGGTGTGGCACATTACACTCCATTTAGAATTTTAGAATTATTTGTTGTCGACTGTATATCCCGTCAATGATATAATGATGTTGAGTCAGTAATCCTTAACTATGAATGTGACTGCCAGTGATCTGTGCCAAGCTGATATTTGGTGTCCGCGCTGAGAGCCGCAGCTTGCTCTTAACTAAATATTTCCTCTCTACCACATGAAAATTTGATCTATCCTGTTGTCTGGTAATTGTGAATATGCACACTTTGAGGTGTCTTTTTTGTATTTATAATCTTATGTTTGTAAAATAGCTTTGTAGGTAGTGATGAACTTGTTTTGCTTTCAGAGAGTCTGATATCACCAAAGAGAGAATTCAGAAGATTCTGGCCACAGGTGCCAATGTCATTCTGACTACTGGTGGCATTGATGATATGTGTCTAAAATATTTTGTGGATGCTGGTGCCATGGCAGTACGCCGTTGTCTGAAGAAAGACCTCAGACGAATTGCTAAGGCCAGTGGAGGTAAGTGCAGCATTTTTTTTTACTGGTTACTGTTGTGAATTATATATACTTTGAAACTAGTGATCCCCTGCCTTATTGGACTCCAGTTATCCGGAATTCCGACCTGGTTGGACGAGGCCCAAAACCAAAAACATTAATTTTATTCTGTGGGCCCAACTCCTAGCGCGGATCAATGGTGCACTGAGTAGCCTCTGTCTGTGCTGACATTCATAGTGGCTAGTGATACTGACTGACTCAGATTGTTTGAATCCAGCGAGCAGAAAATGGCTTATTCGTTATCTTCTTAGTCGAAAATTGATCTGATAACTCGTTCTGTAATATGGCATCTTGCATTACAAAGGCCTCCAGCCCGATGTTGTGATTGGTAGCGGAGGTTGGGTGCCTATGCTCAGATGCGTTGCAGGGGCTAAGCCGTGGCCTCCTACGCTGTCTTGCATCTTATCGTGTGACAGGATAGGGCCAAAAGCCACGGAGCAGCTGGGAGGACCTATATCAAACTCGCTACTCCGGATAACTTATTGCTCAGCTCTTTACCCTTGGAGTGACAAGCTATCGAGTTTAATGTCCAATATTAATATCATTCAATTTTAAAAGGGTGGCATTCGGAATCAGCTGGAATTTTCCTAGTGATTCTGACGTCCTCCCGACATGAAAAGCGCTATACAAATGTAATTTTGTTGAAGTGTTAAAAGTACGTAAATCAGAAAAGGGTGTCTTGGACTGAGAAACCTATTCTGATGATTTTTACCTGTTTTTGTTTATAGCAACTATCTGTTCAACACTTGCAAACTTGGAAGGAGATGAGAGTTTTGATCACTCTTTAGTGGGCCAAGCTGAGGAGGTGGTTTACTGTGTTGTAAAGGATATGCGATGATGAACTGATACTTGTTGAAAAGTAAGAAAAACATGTACAACTTACTGAACTCCCATTTATTTGCTGCCCTGCTAATATCTGTGGCATGAGCAGTTGTACGCTTGGGATAGAGAATATTCAGCCTTGTGTGACTGAAGAGCTTGCTGATGTCTTCTCAGTAATGCATTAGCTGAACATAAAAAATTATATCCAATGTATACAGTGTAGTATCTTGCAATGCTACTGTTAATGTTGCAGAATTGAAAAAGATGTTGGGATTGTAATTGTGTTGAATCTTTTTTTATATTGACTGCACAGATGCAGATTAAATTTGTTGTGCATATAAATATAATCCAAGCAGTTTCCTGATGAAAGTAGAACTGTCACATCTATTCCTGGTTTAAGTCGGCGATGAATATTGTTTTGCATAACAGTATATAATCAATAGGTATTGTTCATTCAGGAGCAGTGCACACAAAGTTTGTGATTGAAAAAGGGATCTAGATTCTGATTTCTAAAAGTGAGGTATAAATTGATGCTGACATTTTAAAATGGGTTTAACCCAACCCCCACAAGTACTATTGTTGTAAAGTTTATCTGATGTATGGATTTTTTTAAATTTGTATTTTTCAGTACAAAGGCCCGTACTTCTGCATCAATCATTCTGCGAGGAGCAAATGATTTCATGTGTGATGAGATGGAGCGCTCCCTACATGATGCACTCTGTGTTGTGAAGAGAGTGCTTGAGTCCAAGTCTTTAGTTCCAGGAGGTGGGGCTGTGGAAGCTGCACTCTCCATCTACCTGGAAAACTATGCAACTAGTTTGGTATGGGTTTAATTGTATTTAATTGTATTTTAATTGGGGGAAGGCACTTTTACCGTATGCTTTGAGCTGATTAACCAGGGATTACTGTCCCTATTAATTTGCAGTATTAAAAATTATTTTAAGAAAATAAGTTAAAAGTACTTCATGTATTTAACTGTTGGTTGTCTTTTTGTTTAGGGATCACGTGAACAACTTGCCATTGCAGAATTTGCCCGGGCCATGTTGATTATTCCTAGGACTCTGGCAGTGAATGCTGCTCAGGATTCTACAGACCTTGTTGCAAAGTTGCGTGCATTCCACAACGAAGCTCAGGTCAATCCTGATCGCAAAACTTTGAAATGGTAAAAATTTTATTGTACTGTGGTCTGCAAAAGATTGTGACTTGAGACCCATTGTTGTCTGAATCAGCGATGAAACTAAATTTGAACATTGTTGCAATTCATGAGCAATCATTGATTTTGGGTGACCTGGTGCCCCAGATAGCAGTAAAGTGCAAAATTGACTTTCTCCATCTTGTTAAAGTAACTTTTACGGCTGAGTTGTCAGAATTCAATCGGAAATTATGAAGGTTTTACTAATATTGTAGTGACTGGCTATTAAAACAGTGTTAATCAAATTCACATTTTGTTTGTGCAGGATTGGTCTTGATTTATTGAATGGGAAGCCAAGGGACAACAAACAAGCTGGTGTCTTTGAGCCTACTGTGGTTAAAGTCAAGAGTCTGAAGTTTGCAACAGAAGCTGCTATAACCATCCTGCGAATTGATGATCTCATCAAACTTTACCCAGATGAAAAGCAAGACAAAGGAAAGAGTTACCAAGATGCAGTTCAAAGTGGAGAGCTTAATGGCTGAAGCACCTGAGTTCTAAAATCAGCTATTATAATTTATGTTTAACTCTTGGCATCCATCAGGTGCTTCTTGTACTTCTGTTCTAGATTGAGCAGCTTGTCATACTTGTATGAAATTCAGTGCCACTTGTTGTAGTGCTCTGTTTAATTTACTATGCTTGTTTAGTGCTATTTGGCACAAACCGGATTTAAAAGACCTCTTACTTTGTTACCTATAGTCAACTCTTTCAAGTTATTTGTGCAAAATTATTTCCTGTACATTGACAGTTGTGCTTCAAGCTCCTTCGGAAATAAAATGTGACAGTTGTCAAGTGATCAGCCATCTATGTAGGGAGCTGTTAAGAGACCACCTTAATTTCATGAATAAACGGTGATGTTGTGCTTCTGGTCTTTTCAAATCTAATTAATTGTGTATGTTATTTCATTGTGGACATGATTTCTCCCTCACACAAATTCACTGGGGAAACATTAATTAAAAATACTGCTGGGGAAGGATGTAATAAGGCACTATATCAAACACAAGGATGATTATTATCTCCCCAAATAAGTAACCTCTCTGATTCTTGGTTGCTGATCTTACCATGGGGAATGATAAAATGCTCAAAAGTATTAGGGCAGCATTTGTAAATCAATTAAAGCAAAATTAAAATACAATGAATGTTCCCCTGCTTTCTCACATGTATTCAACCATCTTGCCCTTCTATAAATACTGGCACTTGATGTAATTTGAGAGTCAGTTTACAAGATTCAGCAATGGTACATTGAGCAATTTATTTCATAAAGAAAAAAATGGTCAATCTGAATTGAGAGATAATAGGAAGGGGTTTATGAATTTTAACAAAAGTATGGATTCCACAGACACAATATTACTATGACTTCAAACTTCAGTACTTTTAATCAAATATTTAAAAGTTACAGTAATTTTCAGAACCGTTTTATGTGGACTGAAGTTTTGAATAGTTTTAAAACCTACCTACTTTACACATTCATTATAAAAACAAAATGCACCTACATTTCATTGGAATCAGGCTGTAACCTAAAATAAAAGCTCAATTTTATCCAGTCAGTAGCTTAGCTGCAGAGTATCTTCAGTTCTTGTAGTAAAATTTAGGTGTCATTTATTGCCTTTCAACACACATAGCTATTCCCATTCCACCTCCTATGCACAAAGAAGCAATGCCACGCTTTTTTCCTGTTCTCTCCAGTGCGTAGAGAAGTGTAACCAGAATGCGGCACCCAGACATTCCCAGAGGGTGACCTGAAGCAATAGCACCACCTTGGATGTTTACCTAGAAAGACAAACACAAAAAATGCATTTTTTAAAAAAAGAGGAAAACCTTTTCCCTAATTTTCTCCTTACTCCACTGGCCTGCTTCAGGTCTCCTGCCTATCCTACCATCAGCAGTCAGGCTTTCAGCCTATCTGCTCTCACTTTGTGGAACTCCAATGTTTGAGCCATATTCAGCCATAGGGCTTTGTTAGCAGTGGTCGTTGTAAATATACCTCTTCTTTATACCTCAATGTTCCTTTTCTTTTCAAACTTCAGGGAAGACGATAACTGTGGCCAGAAACATAGAAATACCTTGAGCGTCTTACAATTTCCGTTTCTTCGCCTCGTCCATCCTCCACCACACCACCGACTGCACACAGATGGATCGCATGAGCTGCACGCACTTCACCGCTCGAACTCCAGTGGGAGTAGGTGAGGTATTAAAGTGGATTGAATATTGCAGCTCATTAATGCTGTGTTTCTTCAAAGTCTGTCAAAAAAACATGTACCTCGGATAATTTAACCGGTGGTAGAGCTTAGAACTAGGAGCAGAATTACATCAGCTTTGATATGGAGTTGCTGATTCTTTCTGAAGAGGAACCAAAGAAGGAACAGTCACTGTATATAAGTCATTTCACGTGAGAAGGGGAGGGGAAGGCAAGTAAATATAGCAGAAAGAATTAATTGAGTCTCCTCAATGGTGCACAGTGAGGTTGTGCATATTCACATAGTTGTGGCCCGTCCTCAGCAGACATAACTCTGAGTCCCAGCTTGAGTGTGAGTGTCCTCTGCTGGTTTTATTTAACTCTAGTTTAGTACTGACACCCCCACCCCCCCACACACACACACACATAGACACACTGTGGTTTGGTGAGACCAGATGAACGCTGCTGGTAATGTTGCCCAATCTCACGAGAGAGGTCGGGTGGTATCCACAGGAAACGCTAAAGTTGTCTGTTGTTTTTACTTCCCTTCCTGTTGCGATTCACTGGCTCCTTTGACCCTGGCCAGGACCTAAACAAAATTTGCCGTTAGCAGTGTATAAAACATCTCTTCAGTAATAGTGACCACAATCTCTCCACCCTCAGTGAAAGGAAGCTCTGCCACTAATCATTTGTTAACAGCCCTGAAGTTAAATAAAAATGGTGCTCACTTTAAACGTTATAATGAAAAGTCTTGTAGGATTGGGAGAATGGTTACTTAGTGAGGCCTGGGAGGGCAGCTCCCACCCTATCGGTCACAATATGAATCAGGGAGGAGAGTTCAGATGAAAGGAAGATATTGGTGATGTGGAGGAGTAGATAACTAGTGAAAAATAAATAATCCGTTTGATATAGCGCCTTTCACATCAGGCGGATGTCTGAAAACACTTCACAGGATTTACTGTCAAGTGTACTGACTGCGTTTTGTAAGCAAACTTGGCAGTCCCATTTTGCATACAGCAATGATGTCCCACAATGGGGGTGAATGATCAGTTTTATCTAGAGGATTGTTGGCCGGGACACTGGGAGAAAAACTCCTTTCTCTCTTTGGATAGTGCCTTGAGTTCTTTTTTGACACCCATCTGAAAGAGAGGCTGTCTAATCAGAGAAAGAGGGGAACATACTTTATTATTAGCAAAACCCCTAAGCTTTACATAGCATTACATAAAATATCTAGCTTCCCCTTAAAGGCATCTATACTATTTGCCTCAACTACTCCTTGTGCTAGCAAGATCCACATTCCCACCACTCTCTGGGTAAATAACTTTCTTCTGACTTCCCTATTTGATTTATTGGTGGCTATTTTATATTTATGGCCTCTGGTTTTGGTCTCCCTCACAAGTAGAAACATCTTCTATATGTCTACCCAATCAAAACATTTCATAATTTTAAAGACCTCTATTAGGTCACCCCTCATTCTTCCCCTTTCAAGAGAAAAGAGTCCAAGCTTCTTCAGCCTTTCCTGATAGGTATAATCTTGCAGGTCCAGTATCAGCCTTGTAAATCTCCTTTGCAACTTCTCCAGTGCCTCTATATCCTTTCTATAATATGGGGACCAGAACTGTACAAATGTGGTTTAACCAAGGTTCCATATAACTTCCCAGCTTTTCATTTCTATCCCTCCAGAAATGAACCCCAATGCTTGCGGAGGCAAATTGGATCAGCAGACTATCATTATACTGTTCAATGTGTAGAAATACTCTCAGGAAATGCTACTACAGCAACACTTTGTCTTTAACAACAGAGGGGACTGGGAATGCCTGTTAGCCAATAGGTGGTGAAACATGGCAGTAGTGTGCAAGAGATAGAGTGAACTAAAGTTTTGCTGCTCTCGGCTTTGTGATGAAATATGGAATAGTAATAATTTCTTCAGGTTAATAATCAAACATTTCCACTCATTTTCCTTCTTTTCTATATTGCATATTTTTTCCTGACTGCTTGTAACTGCACACATAGCTGATGTTATAGTAACTGCTGATCCTGCTCTCTCTAGCTGGCCTCATCAGCCCCTGGAATATGCCACTATACCTCCTGACCTGGAAGATAGCTCCAGCCATCGCCATGGGCAATACGGTCATTGCCAAACCCAGCAAAATGACCTCAGTCACGGCCTGGAAGGGCCGGTCCCTGCAAGGGCCGGTCCCTGCAAGGGCCGGTCCCTGCAAGGGCCGGTCCCTGGAAGGGCCGGTCCCTGCAAGGGCCGGTCCCTGCAAGGGCCCGTCCCTGCAAGGGCCGGTCCCTGCAAGGGCCGGTCCCTGCAAGGGCCGGTCCCTGCAAGGGCCGGTCCCTGCAAGGGCCGGTCCCTGCAAGGGCCGGTCCCTGCAAGGGCCGGTCCCTGCAAGGGCCGGTCCCTGCAAGGGCCGGTCCCTGCAAGGGCCGGTCCCTGCAAGGGCCGGTCCCTGCAAGGGCCGGTCCCTGCAAGGGCCGGTCCCTGCAAGGGCCGGTCCCTGCAAGGGCCGGTCCCTGCAAGGGCCGGTCCCTGCAAGGGCCGGTCCCTGCAAGGGCCGGTCCCTGCAAGGGCCGGTCCCTGCAAGGGCCGGTCCCTGCAAGGGCCGGTCCCTGCAAGGGCCGGTCCCTGCAAGGGCCGGTCCCTGCAAGGGCCGGTCCCTGCAAGGGCCGGTCCCTGCAAGGGCCGGTCCCTGCAAGGGCCGGTCCCTGCAAGGGCCGGTCCCTGCAAGGGCCGGTCCCTGCAAGGGCCGGTCCCTGCAAGGGCCGGTCCCTGCAAGGGCCGGTCCCTGCAAGGGCCGGTCCCTGCAAGGGCCGGTCCCTGCAAGGGCCGGTCCCTGCAAGGGCCGGTCCCTGCAAGGGCCGGTCCCTGCAAGGGCGGTCCCTGCAAGGGCCGGTCCCTGCAAGGGCCGGTCCCTGCAAGGGCCGGTCCCTGCAAGGGCCGGTCCCTGCAAGGGCCGGTCCCTGCAAGGGCCGGTCCCTGCAAGGGCCGGTCCCTGCAAGGGCCGGTCCCTGCAAGGGCCGGTCCCTGCAAGGGCCGGTCCCTGCAAGGGCCGGTCCCTGCAAGGGCCGGTCCCTGCAAGGGCCGGTCCCTGCAAGGGCCGGTCCCTGCAAGGGCCGGTCCCTGCAAGGGCCGGTCCCTGCAAGGGCCGGTCCCTGCAAGGGCCGGTCCCTGCAAGGGCCGGTCCCAGCACGGGCCGGTCCCTGCAAGGGCCGGTCCCTGCAAGGGCCGGTCCCTGCAAGGGCCGGTCCTGCAAGGGCCGGTCCCTGCAAGGGCCGGTCCCTGCAAGGGCCGGTCCCTGCAAGGGCCGGTCCCTGCAAGGGCCGGTCCCTGCAAGGGCCGGTCCCTGCAAGGGCCGGTCCCTGCAAGGGCCGGTCCCTGCAAGGGCCGGTCCCTGCAAGGGCCGGTCCCTGCAAGGGCCGGTCCCTGCAAGGGCCGGTCCCTGCAAGGGCCGGTCCCTGCAAGGGCCGGTCCCTGCAAGGGCCGGTCCCTGCAAGGGCCGGTCCCTGCAAGGGCCGGTCCCTGCAAGGGCCGGCCGGTCTGCGTGGGTGTGGCATATTACACTCCATTTAGAATTTTAGAATTATTTGTTGTCGACTGTATATCCCGTCAATGATATAATGATGTTGAGTCAGTAATCCTTAACTATGAATGTGACTGCCAGTGATCTGTGCCAAGCTGATATTTGGTGTCCGCGCTGAGAGCCGCAGCTTGCTCTTAACTAAATATTTCCTCTCTACCACATGAAAATTTGATCTATCCTGTTGTCTGATAATTGTGAATATGCACACTTTGAGGTGTCTTTTTTGTATTTATAATCTTATGTTTGTAAAATAGCTTTGTAGGTAGTGATGAACTTGTTTTGCTTTCAGAGAGTCTGATATCACCAAAGAGAGAATTCAGAAGATTCTGGCCACAGGTGCCAATGTCATTCTGACTACTGGTGGCATTGATGATATGTGTCTAAAATATTTTGTGGATGCTGGTGCCATGGCAGTACGCCGTTGTCTGAAGAAAGACCTCAGACGAATTGCTAAGGCCAGTGGAGGTAAGTGCAGCATTTTTTTTTACTGGTTACTGTTGTGAATTATATATACTTTGAAACTAGTGATCCCCTGCCTTATTGGACTCCAGTTATCCGGAATTCCGACCTGGTTGGACGAGGCCCAAAACCAAAAACATTAATTTTATTCTGTGGGCCCAACTCCTAGCGCGGATCAATGGTGCACTGAGTAGCCTCTGTCTGTGCTGACATTCATAGTGGCTAGTGATACTGACTGACTCAGATTGTTTGAATCCAGCGAGCAGAAAATGGCTTATTCGTTATCTTCTTAGTCGAAAATTGATCTGATAACTCGTTCTGTAATATGGCATCTTGCATTACAAAGGCCTCCAGCCCGATGCTGTGATTGGTAGCGGAGGTTGGGTGCCTATGCTCAGATGCGTTGCAGGGGCTAAGCCGTGGCCTCCTACGCTGTCTTACATCTTATCGTGTGACAGGATAGGGCCAAAAGCCACGGAGCAGCTGGGAGGACCTATATCAAACTCGCTACTCCGGATAACTTATTGCTCAGCTCTTTACCCTTGGAGTGACAAGCTATCGAGTTTAATGTCCAATATTAATATCATTCAATTTTGAAAGGGTGGCATTCGGAATCAGCTGGAATTTTCCTAGTGATTCTGACGTCCTCCCGACATGAAAAGCGCTATACAAATGTAATTTTGTTGAAGTGTTAAAAGTACGTAAATCAGAAAAGGGTGTCTTGGACTGAGAAACCTATTCTGATGATTTTTACCTGTTTTTGTTTATAGCAACTATCTGTTCAACACTTGCAAACTTGGAAGGAGATGAGAGTTTTGATCCCTCTTTAGTGGGCCAAGCTGAGGAGGTGGTTCAAGAAAGGATATGCGATGATGAACTGATACTTGTTAAAAAGTAAGAAAAACATGTACAACTTACTGAACTCCCATTTATTTGCTGCCCTGCTAATATCTGTGGCATGAGCAGTTGTACGCTTGGGATAGAGAATATTCAGCCTTGTGTGACTGAAGACCTTGCTGATGTCTTCTCAGTAATGCATTAGCTGAACATAAAAAATTATCTCCAATGTATACAGTGTAGTATCTTGCAATGCTACTGTTAATGTTGCAGAATTGAAAAAGATGTTGGGATTGTAATTGTGTTGAATCTTTTTTTATATTGACTGCACAGATGCAGATTAAATTTGTTGTGCATATAAATATAATCCAAGCAGTTTCCTGATGAAAGTAGAACTGTCACATCTATTCCTGGTTTAAGTCGGCAATGAATATTGTTTTGCATAACAGTATATAATCAATAGGTATTGTTCATTCAGGAGCAGTGCACACAAAGTTTGTGATTGAAAAAGGGATCTAGATTCTGATTTCTAAAAGTGAGGTATAAATTGATGCTGACATTTTAAAATGAGTTTAACCCAACCCTCACAAGTACTATTGTTGTAAAGTTTATCTGATGTATGGATTTTTTTAAATTTGTACTTTTCAGTACAAAGGCCCGTACTTCTGCATCAATCATTCTGCGAGGAGCAAATGATTTCATGTGTGATGAGATGGAGCGCTCCCTACATGATGCACTCTGTGTTGTGAAGAGAGTGCTTGAGTCCAAGTCTTTAGTTCCAGGAGGTGGGGCTGTGGAAGCTGCACTCTCCATCTACCTGGAAAACTATGCAACTAGTTTGGTATGGGTTTAATTGTATTTCAAGATTATTGGGGGAGGGCACTTTTACCGTATGCTTTGAGCTGATTAACCAGGGATTACTGTCCCTATTAATTTGCAGTATTAAAAATTATTTTAAGAAAATAAGTTAAAAGTACTTCATGTATTTAACTGTTGGTTGTCTTTTTGTTTAGGGATCACGTGAACAACTTGCCATTGCAGAATTTGCCCGGGCCATGTTGATTATTCCTAGGACTCTGGCAGTGAATGCTGCTCAGGATTCTACAGACCTTGTTGCAAAGTTGCGTGCATTCCACAACGAAGCTCAGGTCAATCCTGATCGCAAAACTTTGAAATGGTAAAAATTTTATTGTACTGTGGTCTGCAAAAGATTGTGACTTGAGACCCATTGTTGTCTGAATCAGCGATGAAACTAAATTTGAACATTGTTGCAATTCATGAGCAATCATTGATTTTTGGTGACCTGGTGCCCCAGATAGCAGTAAAGTGCAAAATTGATTTTCTCCATCTTGTTAAAGTAACTTTTACGGCTGAGTTGTCAGAATTCAATCGGAAATTATGAAGGTTTTACTAATATTGTAGTGACTGGCTATTAAAACAGTGTTAATCAAATTCACATTTTGTTTGTGCAGGATTGGTCTTGATTTATTGAATGGGAAGCCAAGGGACAACAAACAAGCTGGTGTCTTTGAGCCTACTATGGTTAAAGTCAAGAGTCTGAAGTTTGCAACAGAAGCTGCTATAACCATCCTGCGAATTGATGATCTCATCAAACTTTACCCAGATGAAAAGCAAGACAAAGGAAAGAGTTACCAAGATGCAGTTCAAAGTGGAGAGCTTAATGGCTGAAGCACCTGAGTTCTAAAATCAGCTATTATAATTTATGTTTAACTCTTGGCATCCATCAGGTGCTTCTTGTACTTCTGTTCTAGATTGAGCAGCTTGTCATACTTGTCTGAAATTCAGTGCCACTTGTTGTAGTGCTCTGTTTAATTTACTATGCTTGTTTAGTGCTATTTGGCACAAACCGGATTTAAAAGACCTCTTACTTTGTTACCTATAGTCAACTCTTTCAAGTTATTTGTGCAAAATTATTTCCTGTACATTGACAGTTGTGCTTCAAGCTCCTTCGGAAATAAAATGTGACAGTTGTCAAGTGATCAGCCCATCTATGTAGGGAGCTGTTAAGAGACCACCTTAATTTCATGAATAAACGTTGATGTTGTGCTTCTGGTCTTTTCAAATCTAATTAATTGTGTATGTTATTTCATTGTGGACATGATTTCTCCCTCACACAAATTCACTGGGGAAAACATTAATTAAAAATACTACTGGGGAAGGATGTAATAAAGCACTATATCAAATACAAGGATGATTATTATCTCCCCAAATAAGTAACCTCTCTGATTCTTGGTTGCTGATCTTACCATGGGGAATGATAAAATGCTCAAAAGTATTAGGGCAGCATTTGTAAATCAATTAAAGCAAAATTAAAATACAATGAATGTTCCCCTGCTTTCTCACATGTATTCAACCATCTTGCCCTTCTATAAATACTGGCACTTGATGTAATTTGAGAGTCAGTTTACAAGATTCAGCAATGGTACATTGAGCAATTTATTTCATAAAGAAAAAAATGGTCAATCTGAGTTGAGAGATAATAGGAAGGAGTTTATGAATTTTAACAAAAGTGTGGATTCCACACACACAATATTACTATGATTTCAAACTTCAGTACTTTTAATCAAATATTTAAAAGTTTCACTAATTTTCAGAACCGTTTTATGTGGACTGAAGTTTTGAATAGTTTTAAAACCTACCTACTTTACACATTCATTATAAAAACAAAATGCACCTACATTTCATTGGAATCAGGCTGTAACCTAAAATAAAAGCTCAATTTTATCCAGTCAGTAGCTTAGCTGCAGAGTATCTTCAGTTCTTGTAGTAAAATTTAGGTGTAATTTATTGCCTTTCAACACACATAGCTATTCCCATTCCACCTCCTATGCACAAAGAAGCAATGCCACGCTTTTTTCCTGTTCTCTCCAGTGCGTAGAGAAGTGTAACCAGAATGCGGCACCCAGACATTCCCAGAGGGTGACCTAAAGCAATAGCACCACCTTGGATGTTTACCTAGAAAGACAAACACAAAAAATGCATTTTTTTTAAAAAAGAGGGAAAACCTTTTCCCTAATTTTCTCCTTACTCCACTGGCCTGCTTCAGGTCCCCTGCCTATCCTACCATCAGCAGTCAGGCTTTCAGCCTATCTGCTCTCACTTTGTGGAACTCCAACGAGAGCCCTATCACCTCAACTCTCCCTTACCTCCTTCAAGGTCCTCAAAACCTTCCTCTGACCGGTCATCTTCCTGGCCCCCATCCCTCCCGAATCCAACTTGGGACATCCTCCCGACATGAAAGGCGCTTTATAAATGCAATTTCTTGTTTTATTACATCCCACATTGACCCATTGGGTGAATCAGGAAGTAAAAAGGATCAATTGCATTTAGTTGTAGTGCCAATTTTTATATCTACATTTCTCACCTTCTCTGGGTTTATACCCAGTTCCTTGACAACAGCCACAGACTGTGATGCAAAAGCTTGATTGATGTCGAAGAGATCAACTTCATCCAGCGTCCAGCCGGCTTTTTCTACCTAGAATAAATAGTAAATCTAAGTCATTACCCTTGAATCTGAAGATGATGGAATGCACAGTGGGTGAATCATTGGTTGAAAAGGAAACAATCTACTTGACCCTACTTCAGGGCGGACACAATTTGACGGCTCCTCAGGCAATGATATCAGCCATGTGAGGAGTGACCGAGCAGACCTTTTCCAAATGGGAAAGGGAGATACCTGGAGTTGAGCCATGACCCCAGTCTCGTCTCCTGCAGGTGCTTAAAAAACAATAGCAGAGTCCTGGGGGCAGAATAGCTGCCAATTCTCTCACTTGCAGGATAGCCCATTCCCAAAACAGGAAACACCATATAAAAGTAGAGTTGTGCTAATAAATGAACATGTCTGAGTCTGGTTAAGGCTCTATGCTGTGAAGAGGTATAAGTATTAACAATATTCTTGTATTACTTACGGCCTTCCTTATTGCTGCTATAGGCCCGACTCCCATAATGGCAGGATCCAAACCAGCCTCGGCCCAGGATACAATCTGAGCCAAAGGTTTCAGGCATTTCTTGTCAGCTTCTGATTTCTTCATCAGAATCACAGCTGCGGCCCGTCATTTATTCCTGCAGAACAGCAAACAGAGTGTGTTGTCAGTAAAGTTACTGCCTTCTTTTCAACGACTTTATAAGCAAATTACAAGAGTGATTCTTTCTGCTGACCTGAAGCATTAGCAGCAGTGACAGTGCCAGATACGCCCTTTGCAAAAGCCGGCTTTAGTTTAGACATGGCTTCGAAGGTGCTTCCGTGACGGGGAAACTCATCAGTTGGCACCTCGATAGGCCCTGAAGAGAGAGAGGATGATGTTAGATTATTAAGGCTCCTAATTAAAATGTAGCACTTCGAGGCTACACAATAGTAGCAAATAAAATTTTAATTTCATTATAAGTGTTATACATTTAAAAACAAGTGTGGCACATATGTTAGTCGAAGTGAATAATGTTGGCCTCTGTCTGGTTGAGTGCCAAATAGTTTGGAAGACCTCTTGCAAGTCCATAGGGTTTAGGGCAGACTGGATGACATAAGATCACAAAAGAGGTTTGGATAAATAAAACCTTTCGGCCTATTCAATCTGAGCCTTCCAGAATATCCATGCTATCATCTCTCATTACCGCATAGTTTTTTTTAAAAAAGTGTCCAGCAACCTAGCTTCTGCCATCCCTCCTGGTAATCTACTGCAGTTGCAGCAACGTGTAAAGAAACACTTCTTGTTGTGTGTCCTAAATAATGTCCTTTACAACTCTGAAACTGTACCTTGTTTTCTGCTGGCCTGGTGTATCTGAATATATTATTGTAGGTTTACTTTCTCAATCTCATTCAGCATCTTATATACCTCTATAGAGGTCCCCTCTATGCCATTTGTTTTTGAGGCTTGAAAAAGCTTAGAATATGCAACTTTCTGAAACCTTCTCCTACACGCATTCACACGCGCTCGTGCAGATGAACCAGTCAGTCTCAAAATCTCTCCTCCTAGGAGTACAGCACATACCTCTCCTGGAAGGGACGGAGACAGGAACAATTTCTTTTTCAAAATAGCCAGCTTTCTGTGCTGCCTCAGTTCGGTTCTGGGACTGTACAGCAAACTTGTCCTGCTCCTCTCGACTCACATGCCACTGCATCGCCACGTTCTCAGCTGCATCGAGAGGACGAGAAAAGTAATTCGGGAAACGTTCTGTAGCTTCAAACCTTTATATAAATATGTGCATGGCCAAGAGACCGTAGCTATACATAATGATGGCTATCAAGTAACATGCTACTTTACATCTACGTCCGTTCTATGAGCTTGCACAGCTTTGGTTCACACATTCACACCCTCCAAGGTGGTTTTAGGATAACACACACCTTCCTGGCTTCTGTTAGGCCAGTCATCACAGTGTAAAAGTACTGCCCTCGGGTGACTTTGCTTATCTGTCACCACAGAGGATAATTTTAAAGATATATTGTTGCTCTAAAAAGGTTAAAAGCTTGAGCTTCCAAGGAATTCAACCACAGAATCTTTTGGTCTTAAGTTGGCTGAGCCATGTAGGATGCCTGGGTCTCCACCAAGCATAGTATGTTTCTATTCGCGAGGATGTTTAAAGTGCTTCACAACTATGAAGTGTGTAGTGACTGTGTATTTTGTAGGAGCATCTTTAGTCAACAGTCATGTTCCCTTTACAGTTCAGAACAGAATTAACCTCCTCCATATTTTGAACTTCAGAAAGGATTCAGGTTTGTTCCAGTAAATTTGTTCACATTTTTCCAATCATCGATGAGCACCTCCACAGCTGAGGTAGTTAATACACGACTGTGTCTTGGAGGCTGGGAACAGGCACTTTGGATTGCAATCTGAGCTCAAACACATTGTGCCCATTATTTCAGTATCTAATTTTAAGAAATAGTTACAATACATGATTAAATAGAAACAAAAAGAACATTTTCTATTCAAATAACGCCCCTCATTTTTAATCAGAACAATACTATCTTATAAATTTATCAAACCCTGCATATAGATTGCTCCATTCCCAAGCTGCTCTCTTTGAGCACTTGGTTGACAAAGGCACTGCCTGGCATTGAACTGAGACTTGGAAGACCCAGATTTGTGCCAGGTTACCTGGTCTCAGCTTGGCAGCAGATGGGATGTTACAATTAGTTTGTATAAGTAGGAGGAAAAATACAGCCAGTGTTCCCACTTCTTATCACATTCAATGGTCCTGGCTGGAAGGTGCTTGTGTGGACAGGAAGAGACTTGTCTGTGACATTCCATCTCCTCTCATGGTCAAACAGCCCAGTGACCCTTTGCCACTCGGATTCACACATGAAGTACGGCCATTTTTATGAGATACTGGAGGGCAGCTGGTAGCCTTAGAACTAAACACCACAGATCCTCAGAGAGGTTAGAAAACAGAGGGAAATGCAATTAATTTCCAGTGCTTAAATGCAAACCTTGTATTTATTCAGTGACAGTTCTTACCTGTTACACCCATGTGGTAGTTATAAAAGGCGTCCATTAGGCCATCACACAGAATGGTATCCTGAAGGGACATGTCTCCTACTTTGACCCCAACTCGCATTGGAACCACATGTGGAGCCTGTGATTAAAAGAAGCAGGCTTTAGCTAAGTGTACTTGCTGTATACTGGGACTCCACATGCAACAAAATCTGGCTGGAGAAAAGGAAGTACTTGCCTTTGTATAATGCCTTATCATACTGAAATGCCTACAAACACTTCACAATAATTACTATCTCAGATAATAATCATGAGAATATCCTGAAGCACTTCACAGGGAATTACTGTGAAATGGAGTGACTGTGCATTTGTCGGCGAATGCTGCAGCCCAATTGCACACAGCATTGTTCCACAAACCAACATGAAAAAAAGCATGACCAATTTTTAAATATTTAGGGGTACAAACAAGTGTATTAATGGCAGCACAATGCAACTGCTTGTTGTGACAGTCACTAAATTGTATCCACCGGTGAACGTTTCTGCCGAGCCATTTAGCTGAGTTCATGTTTGCTTCTTTCACACTTGATCCCTCTGTGCTCAGACAACAGGAGGGAAAAGTTCAACATTCGTTATCTGTACCGTTCTTTGGTTGAACAACAAAATCAGGCAGAACTGAACTACCTTTACATGATATATTCATGATTGAGTAGGGAGCAGAGGGTATGGAAGTGGAGATTAGCAAAGGGGAGAGGCTTGTTTGAAGCATGGGCTGAATGGCCTGTTTCCGAGCTATGTAATTAGAAATTTACATTACAGAAAGAAGTCATTAGGGCCCATCATGTCTGCTGTCTCTATGAAAGAGAATATCCTGAAATTTTGCTCATGTAAACCTTGCTCATGCATTCCACGCCGCCTGCTACTACAATCCTGGCGTTTTCCGTGAGGATGGACTGTGCTCCTAAACACACGGCCTTCAGTCCGGAACCACAGATCATCTGGCAGCTCCATGCTGGCACCGAATAGGGAATGCTTGCTGCCACGCTGGCCTGACGGGCAGGATTCTGTCCTTGGCCTACAAAACAGTGAAAGAAAAGGAATAGACTCCTTTAATACTACAGTGCAGAGTTGGTGGTGATACTTTCTGAAAAGAGGCACGGGAATACTCAGTGAGAATCATTTACTCATATTATTAGTGTTAAGTTAACCAGCCTTAACTTTAGTACAGGTTTAGCACAAGAAGTTATATTTTTTTATATAATAACGTCTTTTTCAGACGTTAATATAAAATAGCATTTTATTCTCCAGACAGGAAGATAACAAGGACAATAATTCTTTTAATACCACAGTTGGCTTGCATTCATCCTTTCATCATTTCTCTCCTTCGCTAACCCCTCTTGCGCTGCATAAACAGAGTGCTTCAGAGCTTACATTTCAGCTGCAGCTTGCAAGGTGAATGTTTATAAAGTGTAAACACAATGACTTAATTTTCGGTGGACCTAGTTGCATGACTTCCGAACTCTCCAATCTGGGCGAGGAACGGTAGACTGTAGGCTTTGTATGTTGAGGATAATATTCAGTCTGTGAAAACTCAGTCAGTGCTCTAAACACTATCAAATGATCCTCCTTGGAGAGAACAGAGCTTGGCCTTGAATCCTCTTCAGATTCACCATTGGCTGTCTGTGGATCTCACCTACAAATCCCTTCGCACCCTCACTCTCTCTACCTCTGTGACCTACTTATCCCCTACGTTCAACAAACTCAAGCCTGATGCATGGACAGTCCCTGGACAGTCATTAACAAGTCATCTCTTCCTGTGACCAGGGATCCTTGTACTTGCCGGTCCTCCGCGATTTTGCGGTTATATCCAACACTTTTGATCATTCTATTCTTCTCTACCATCTCTCCTCTGGTACATCTCTGTAGCTCTGCACTATCCAGGTTCCATTCCAACTTATCGCAGGATCATCACTATGTCTCCTTTTCCTCTGACCCACATGATCACGTGTGGCTTGGGGCTCTTTTCTGGCTCCTCTCCTCCTCATCTACATACTCCCCCAGGTTGACATAATTTCCAGGGACTTCAATACATTTGCCACTGACAACCAACTCTACCTATCCCCTTTCCGTTTTCACCTTTGACCCCTGGACAACTGCTTGTCAGATTATCAAGTCCTGAATAAGCCCAAACTTTCCCCCATAGAATGCATGGCTGAAAGAGTGGTGCGGGAGGCAGGAGTTTCATTTTGTGGACCACTGGCACCAGTATTGGTGAAAGAGGGGGCTCTTCCATCAGTATGTCATTGAACATATTCAAGACTGAGATTGATTTTTAAAAACTAAAGAGATTAAGGGATATGGGGATAGGGCGGGTAACTGGAATTAGGTTAGAAGATCAGCCATGGTCTTATTAAATGGCGGGGCAGGCTTGAGGGGCCGAATGGCCTACTCCTGCTCCTATTTCTTATGTTTTTAATGTTGACAAGACAAAGGCTTTCCTGCTTGGCTCCCGTCAGCATCTCCGCACTTCAGGCGTTGGCTCACGTCAGCTCACGGAGACAGTACAGAATATCAAATCAACGATTTATTCAAACCTCATCTTCAACCTTTCATCTGGGGTCTTATCAAGTTGACGTTCTTCCATCTTCACAACACTGACTGCCAACTTCAGCCACAGCCCCCCTTTCCCCACCCCCAGCCACCCTTAACAGCACCTTTTGCCCTATTATTATTATTATTATTATTTATTATTATTATTTCCCCAATCCCTCAACCTATCTCCCTTCCAGCTCAGGCACCCATTCAGACTTTATAAAGCACTTTGAGACAGGTTGAAAAGTCGTATACAAATGCTGTACCGTTCACTATTACTCAAATACAACATTGTACCTGCAGTCAAAACCTGTCCCAAAATAACTTCAGAGACACCTTCTGGCGGGGGGCGGGTGGGGGGGGGGGGGGGGGGCGCTGTGTTAATGGTAATAGTGATGGTGAAGGCCCCGCACAAACAGCTTCAATTATCCTTCAGCTGTTTGCAGGAAATCCGACTCCAGAGCAGCGCCTCCGCACACACACACACACACCCCCAGTGTCCACGGGTCCCCCCCAGTGTCCCCGGGTCCCCCCCAGTGTCCCGGGGTCCTCCCCCAGTGCCCGGGGGTCCCCCCCAGTGTCCGGGGGTCGCCGCCCCCAGTGTCCGGGGGTCCCCCCCAGTGTCCGGGGTCCCCCCAGTGTCCGGTGGTCCCCCCCCAGTGTCCGGGGGTCCCCCCCCAGTGCCCGGTGGTCCCACCCCCAGTGTTCGGGGGTCCCCCCCCAGTGTCCGGGGGTCCCCTCCCCGCTGTACGGCTGTGGTGCTGCTCTCTCTGTGTTACCTATTGGGGTTCTCGCTGCGGAGAGGATCACAACATCGTCTCTCCCACTCATGGCGCTGCACCGAGTGCAGGAGGCGGGAGGGGGGGGGGTTGGGCACCAGGATATCCGCCCAGCCCCGCCCCGCCCTCCCTGCCAGTCACGCCAACCCTGGGCCGGTCCCCGCAAGGGCCGGTCCCCGCAAGGGCCGGTCCCCGCAAGGGCCGGTCCCCGCAAGGGCCGGTCCCTGCACCTGGTTGGAGAAACTAAAACCAGGGGTCACAACCTTAAAATCAGAGGCCAGCCCTTTCACACTGAGTTGAGGAAGAACTTCTTCACTCAAAGGGTAGTGAATGTATGGAACTCACTACCCCAAAGGGCTGTTGATGCTCAGTTTTTCCAACATATTCAAGACTGAGATAGATAGATTTCTTATTGCAAAAGGGATTAAGGGATATGGGGATAAGGCAGGGTCAGGTTATTAGCTGGAGTTAGATTAGAAGATCAGCCATGATTGAATGGCGGGGCAGGCTCGAAGGGCCGAATGGCCTACTCCTGCTCCTACATGTTATGTTAAAGGGCACTCAAATTGTTTGATCAGTCACACATAAATCCGTGGGAATGTTGCTTTGATCTTCTGGGTCAATGAGAATTTGAACACGATTCTATATTAAGGAATCTTTTTAAGAAATACTGTAAAATGAGGCCTTCTGTAACCTTTGTTTAATTGTTTACACCAACACCAAACAACATAGATAAACACCACTACCATTTTCACTAGAAAACTATACAATACTGAAACTAGGTGGATTGGGAAACATTGCCACACTCAGTCTCATCTATACAGGTGATGTTAATTGCTTGTCTTTTCCTCCAGGTTAAGAAAAACCTTATTATTTTGACCTAATGTGTGGGATTAAAACCAGGACAGCAACTTTAAATTCTCAATGTTAAAATTGTCATCTGCACAAATCTTTCCAATCAACAAAGATTGAGTAGGAATTGATGTGCAACTTGGAATTAACGTTTTATCCAAATGAAGGACTATGTAAAGGGATTACAATGTGGAAGTGTATATTGAAACAAAGCTTGTGTTCTATTATGGCACTTTTTCTGCCGTCAGCACTGCAGAAGCTTGCTTGCGAGCCTGAAAAGAGAGAGGCACAGATAGTCAATGTTATTATGAAATAGCTTACAAGAAAAGTAACATGCATAAGTAGATATATTGCCACTCTTTTTAAAAAGAGTACGATGAGAATACTTGCCAGACAGATAAATAGACAAACACAAAAGGATCAATCAGTCAGTCATCTCAAATCCAAAGACAGTAACACCATTTCTGAAGAGGACCCAACAAATCTGCAGCCAGAAAATCCTCCTGGTCTTAATCCTAATGCTACATCCTCAAAATTGATCAGTTTTCTATCATTCTTATGCCGCTTGGGTCAGTTTAGGGCTCTGACTCGTCACTGACCCATGCATTTAGAAATGCCTTATTGACTATTCAGTGAGGGGAACCTCTGGTGCTATGGTTATACTGGATGAGAGAGACAGTAAAATAAAGAGCATAGTTTGGGAGATACTGCTATTCATTTCTTCCATTTGATTATATCAGTGTTCCATCATTACTCTGGTTGCTTAATTATGAGGCTAAATGAAAGGTTATTGGGATAGTGGAACTATTGGCAACAGGCATCATTCTAAGGATAGGTCATGCAGGTTACCTTATAGAAGACTTACTCTACTCACTGGAATATTTATAGAGACTCCATATGAGTAATTGTGTCAAACTGCATCACTGTTAAACACTCCGAGATGCTACTCCCATGAAGGGTGCTATATAAATGCCATGTTGTAGTGTTCTAATGGTGAGGGGAGATCTTTCCCCAAATGGTCTTAAGAGCAAGGAAATATAGCATTTGGAATCTTTATAGAATTCTGAGCCTGGTTAATAACACTGCCAGTCAGAGTTAGAGATCCACAGGCTTCATAAACTGTGAGACACAAAATAAATGCAGCACTCAGATACAAAAATATGGAGAAATTTGAACGGAAAACTTGGAAAATCTCACATCATTCTCTTTATGCTCAGTGAACTCAGTATTCATTCACTAGCCAGGTCTCTGATACTAATTATTCTACCTTAAAATTATATATAAATAAATTCTTTATCAAAACTAGACAAGGAATAACATTTTAAAAAATCAGATCGAGATGTAATCATAAGAGAGTGTGAGGATGAACATGCTTACTGATGACTCAGTAATAGGCCTGGGGGAGTACTTCATTGTCAGAGGTTCTTTTCTTCAGATGAGATATTAAACCTCCCTATTCAGGTGGATATAAGAAACATTATTTGAAAAGAGAAGTGAGTTTCTTATGTGTTCTGGCCAACAGTCACCCAAATAAAATTGTTCATTCATTTCATGGCTATCCGTTGGGCATCCGCAAATTAGCTGCTGCATTCAGCTATAAAACACACAATCACTTGCATGGTATAATGCTGAGATAGCTCAATGACATAAGGTGCTATAGTAAATGCAAGGATTATTTACCTAAAATCGAGGTGCTGCCATGATCACCCGGATGCAAAAGAAATAACAACAACAACTTCACATGGGGGAGCATCTCAGAACAGAAGAATTATAAGAATCAAGAAATATAAAGGATGCCTTTTATAATATTAGAAAAGATTTTGGTGAAGCAGTTGCGATTATCAGTGATAGCAAACTGCTTAAGAATCATTAACTGTTACTGGATCATTTTGTTCTGGGGATTATCAGTACAATTCAGACATACACACACAACACACTAAAGTTAAAAGACTATTTTGCTTCATGTCAAAACGTTATTAATAATCCTTGTTTTGATATAGCTCTTTATCACGTCTTCGAGACATCTCAAAGTGCTTCACAGAATATACTGTGAAGTGAATTGACTGTATATTTTGTGAGCGAAAAGCGGTAGCCAATTGCGTACAGCAGCGTCCCACAAACAGTCGTGGATTGAGTGACCAAATTCTTATTCTTATATTTTTTTGGAAGGAATTACTACCCCTGGAAAAGCAATCTGCCAACAATCAGGTTCCTATTTACTCAAAGGCAAACAGAGGGGTGTGGAGTAAGGAAACTTTCCCAACATTTCACTCTGCCGGAAATCAAACCCAGGTCACTCGCTTGCGAAGGGAGTGTTCTAACCACTGACCAACGATTACTTGGATATTCTACTCCAAGATTACTTACATTTTTTTCCTCAACTGACAGAAAACCATCAACTGCCACTATCTGATATTGTTTATGTTTCATGCTCCCAATGAATCTACGGATCATTTTTAGATGTCCTGCATTCATATCGTGGAGTAAAAGCTTTTGCATTGCTTCGCAGTGGCTCCCAGGGTCAAAAATCAAAAGGCAAAGTGATCCATTGTTCCTTTCTTCTATTCCTACAATAGTCCGACTGTGACCTGAAATTTGAAAGATATTTTTATTAACAGGTTTTGCACTTCTATCAACATGGTCCGCAACTCTAAATACCATTCAAAATTAATTTATTGTACATATTAATGATCATACTTGAATATGACCTTACAAACTGAATGCAAAAAAGCATTTGAAGAATTGATTTTATTTTAACCTTGGTGCTGGAGATAGATTGGAGTTTTGTTTGTCCATATGACCCTTGGATGTAACGTCAATCCCGTATCTCTGCCTGAAGAAAAGTATTGCTTTATCCACTCAAACAACTGGGGATGTGTACCTCCTGGTCCCGTGGGGCGATGAAAGTCAATAATTCGACACCTAGATAAGACATCCATCCAGGTTGAAGCTAATTGAAATCATAAACTTTCAACATGTGCGCAAAGTTAAACAATAGCAGCAAAATTTACAGCAAATAAAACTGCAAACTAATTATGTGTTCTGCTGCAGTTTCCTCCAATTTTGTGCTCGTTAGACTCCTCAATCCCAAAGATGATTGTACTAGTTTCACTGGCCCAAATACATTACAATTGACCATCAACATAGCCTCTGTAACACTGGGAGGATGTCTCAAAAAGATGGTCATTGAACATGTGAAAACTTAGGCAGTTTATGCCAGCAGTCTAATTTGATAGCGTGGGTCACCAAAGTTGCCTGCCCTCCCATCGACTGTTGGACCTTCAGCCTTTCTGCCCGCACTCTCTGAAATTCCATCCCAGAGTCCCTTTGTTTTGTCTCCTTCAAGGCCCGTCTCAAGACCTGCCTCTTTGACTTAGCCTTCAGTCATCTTCCGCCCCCCCCTGCCCCACACACACCCCTTGACCTCACCACTCCCAAACAACAACAAATTGTATTCTCAGAGCCCCTTTCATGTCGAAAGGATGTCCGAAGGGACTGGACAGTTGAGGGTTTTCACCTGATCTGGAGATTCGATTCAGGATGGGAGGGGATAAAAAGATGACCGAAGGTGCAGTCAAAGAGGACCTTGAAGGAAGTGAGAGAAGAGGCCGGGTGGAGAGACTCTGGAAAGGAGTTCTGGAGCATGGAGGCAGAAAGGCTGAAGCCTAACTGCCAAATTTGGGGTGGCCAAGGCTGGGGACGTGAAGCAAGCTAGGGCCTGCTTGGTGGCGGGAGCGAGTGCTTTGGTGGGTTTTGGAAGGTGTCAGAAGTAGGATAGGGCAAGTCCGTGGAGGGATTTAAGTTAGGCCATGGATTCTGATTTGGGGAATGGGAAGCCAGTGGAGCTGGGCAAGGATTGAGGTTCAGAGCCTTGAGTAAGAAAGGCCACCAGCTGCAGAGTTCTGAATGGTGTGTAGGTTGTGGAGGAAAGAGTTGGGAAGTCCAGCAAGCAGAGTAGTCTAGCCTGGATAAGGGTTTCAGGAGCTCAAGGGGAGAGATAGTGGTGGAGATGGGCAATGTAACAGAGGTTGAGAAAGCTGCTTCAAATCATACTAACTTTACTCTTAGAAACGTCAGCAGAGAATAAATTTCTGTTGCTCCAATCCAAGCCCGAGTGCCCTGCAGTTTATTCTTAAAATGAGCAGCTCCTTGAGGATCAAAGCCACGTTTCCACGTCTCCTCGATCATCGACTGAAGTTTTGGAATGGAAGGAATCACCATCATATCTAAAAAGGATGAAGAAACATTTTTAAACCTGATCACCTAAATATTTGTTTTAATCATTAAAAAATCATATACAAAACAAACACTCCAAAACCAATAACACGAACAAAACAACCAAAACCCAAGGATTTGAAAAAGAACCAATACGAAGTTCTGAAGTACTCTGGACTACCTGGATAGGTACGGCAAGACCTCTATGAAAGAGGCTGAGGTGGCTGAACATGGAGCATGTCAGGGAATTATATTTGCAATTCTTTGGGTCTTCTCCGAAAGAACTCTGCTTTATGCACTGCACCTGATTATGCATACTAATCACAAATCACATAGTAAAGACAAGCAATATTAGTTTTATAATAAATAATAATAATCCTTGCATTTGATATAGCGCTTTTCACTTCTTCTCGATATCTCAAAGCGCTTCACAGGATAGACTGTAAAGTGAATTGACTGTATATTTGTGAGCGAAACGCGGCAGCCAATTGCGCACAGAAGTGTCCCACAAACAGTCGTGGATTGAAAATGAACAATTTATTATTGTTTTGTTTTGGAGGGATTATTATTAGGCGTGTGGAGTAAGGAAACTTGCCCAAGGTTTCACCCTGCCTGGAATTGAACCCAGGTGTCGCGCTTGCAAGGCGAGTGGTCTAACCACTGAGCTACAGGACTCCACGAGACTCGTGGAGATTCCACGAGATCCGTTTTGTGACCATATGAGGAGTACAAAGGAGATACTGACATCCTGCCTATTATATCAAATGTAAGGATGATTATTTACTGTGGATAGCAATGAAGGGGATCTGGACCAATTTTGCAATCAGCTTGAATGGGACTACCTCCTCCGGGAGTACTTCTTTTCCTGATGGAGCAAATAAACTTCACTGGAGCTGAACAAATTGGAGTGATGTTCTAAAAGAAATCAGATATAAATACCTTCTACCTCATGGCAAAAACACAATGCTGGCCCACAAGTAGCAGGCCTAACAGCTCAGCCAAAAACAAGTCCTTAAATCTCTTCCCTCTGGAAGCTGTATGAGATGGTAGTAAGTGCCTCTGGCAGCAACAATGATTCTCAATTCCATCACATTACTGCTACTAAAGGTAAGGCGGCAGTCAGCAACACTGCTTTAAACTGAACACAACAGTGCCAACGTAAACCCAATAATCTAGTCTTTCCTTGCTTCATTTATGAATCTCATTCAATTCATTCGAAGCACAATTAGAGCTTCTCACGGTCCTATAAATATAATAATCCTTGCATTTGATAAATTGTCTAAAATTGTCTGAAAACACTTCACAAGAATGTTACATTTGATTATCTATGAAGACAAATAATAATAATTGCATTTGGTATAACGCCTTATCATGTCTTCAAGACGTCTCAAAGCACTTCACAGAATACATGGTAAAGTTTAGTGACTGTATTTTGTGGGCAAAACGCATCAGCCAATTGCACACAGCAGTGTCCCACGAGAATTTGAGTGACCAATTTATTACTATTTTTTTGAAGGAATTATTACCCCTGGAAAAGTGATCCACCAATCTACTAAAAACCGAGTTCCTACTTACTGTTTAGTAAACAGGCGTGTGGAGTAAGGAAACTTGTCCAATGTTTCACCATGCTGGGATTCAAACCAAGGTTTCTCGCTTGCAAGGCGAGCGCTCTAACCACTGAGCTACAGGACTCAGCTAAGTTTCTGTGCTGTACATTCTTTGTAAATCTTTGTTAAAAAAGTAGGTTTAAGTAAACTGTTTCTGATTGACTCTTTGCAAGTTTTTTTTGCAGACAAGCTGCTCACTTGCAGTAAATAACACTTTAAGCATTTAAATCATTCAGTTAAGCATTATTAGTTTTTGTGGAAAAAGCTACACTCATATTTAATGATTGATCAAGAATTTCCTTGAGGAATACAAGTATAACTGGAATATCCAAAGTAAAAGTATCACCATGATCTAGGAACACTGATTTTGATAAACATGTGTAGAGAGCCTATGAGTAATTTAAAACATTTTCCCTCTTCCCTTCATAAGTGAATTCTTATGTAAGAATATCTGTACCATGTAAATGATGCTTAAATTGTTCTATCTTCATAAATGAGGAGAGGAGCATTTGTAAATTCCTGTATCCACATCCCCAGCCTTTATCTCCTATCGAGGCATGATAATGATTGGTTTCGGCACACAAAAAGACACGTCGTACTTCTGTACCACATCTCTGGTAATATTCATTCAATGCTTTTATCAACCCTGAAAAACAAGAAAATAGTTGAATGACGAGGTAGAGGTAAGGCCATCATTCAGCCACTGAGCTTGTACTGACATTTTATTACATCATGGAGATTTTTTAATCAATCTACGGCTGACTGTGGCACTGTGGCATCGTGCATCACAGAGCATGTACGAAGCCAAGCGGCGGGAACAAAATAAAGAACATACACAAAGCTAAGCCGCAGCAACAACAACAAAATTACATTTTTAGAGGGCTGAGTCCTCCCACAGGAGTAAACATAAAGATGAAGTGTCTGTCTGTGTGTCAATCATATTGGATCCTTTGGTTGCAAACATAGCTGCAATGGGTAAAGCTAGAACTTTATAAAGTAGCTACCTCCCTTTGACATCCAAATCAACTTTTGACAAAGAAATATTTGTGGCAGGACATTTACTAAAAAAAAGCACTGCAATAAGTTCAAAGGGTTATGCCAGTGGAGTTTATATTGTAACAGACTCTGGAAAACTGCCAGTGAGGAAGGCAGCTATGGATGCCACACGGAAGAGGTTACTGCGTCACCAAGCTCTCTCTTCCTCCCCATCCCTCCCTCCACCTTTGCCCTAGGTCACATGGTGGCTAGGTGGTTTGGTGGAGTTTAGAATAGGAAAGGAGTGATTTGCAGGACTCTGGCCCTGAACCCAGGTGCCTGCAGCCCTCCGATACTGTTAATGATAAAGAATGTGTCATGTTGCTGCTGGGGCTGTTGAGGTTTTCCCCTGTGATAGTAAACTTGTGCTTCTTGAACAGTGTGTGTTTCCATGTGTGTCAGCATCTGTCTGCTTATGTAATCCAGTTTTAGTATTTTATTACAGTTTAAACACAGATTTTTACAGAACTGGAAATCCATCTGGTCAGCTTGAAAAAAAATCCTACTCTACCGCTCCATCTAAAAATCTATTCCAATCTATCTCTCATGAATTTTACTTTCACTGCATCCCTCAATGGTGTCTTTCATACATTGACCACTCTTTGGAGTGTAAAGCAATAAAACCAGTCTATTGCCATCTTCTGAGGTTGAGGAAGTTAAATAGGATTCCTCTGAATACAGGTTGAATTCTGAGCATAGGCACATAAGAACAGCAGTAGGCCATTCAGCCCTTCGAGCCTGTTCCACCATTTACTTAGATCATAGCTGATCTGTACCTCAACTAGCATCAGTGGATTCAAACCCAAAGAAACATTTCTGTTAACATATAGTGTATTCAACAGTGGCTTTCTATTTGAAGAAATAAAGCAAGTTAAGTGACATAGATTCTATCGTTATTAACCTGAAGTCTTAGTTCTGCCATCATCTTCCCCCAATGCTAATGACTCCATTATTGCTGCTCTCCTTCGATGGTACTCTGCAGGATTCATTTGACCACGTTCCACAGCCCGCTCCATATTCTGAAATGCTTGTTGTTTGTATCCTCCTTGGTTATCTAAACCATACTGCATCTGGACAGGAGGGGGAAAAAGTATAACAAGTTCAGAAATAATTTGTATCCATGTTTGTTAAGTCTATACAATGTGCATATAACTGCTGTACATCCTGATTACTTTCAACCAGTTAAAGTAACATCTGCAGTGCTTTAAATACCTCAAATTATTTCAGTTCTCATCCCTAGCTCATATATGTGGTGTGCTGCAACACTCTAATAACAGCCTTAGACCCTACAATCATCTCAGTCTGTTACCAGTTTGTCCACTCCTCAACAGTCTGGAAAACTTAATCTGAGAACTGGTTGTCATTTTCTAAGACTAGATTTTTTCAGCATTTGCCAGTAGACTATCCAGCAACAGAAACCTGTACAAAGGCCAATCTTGTTTTCACTACAGCAACTCAGTGATAGCTTAACTAACATTTGGAAACGTGTTTGCCCAGGATATAGCTCCCAATTACCATTATCACAGGTAACCTGTTCTCCACCTGGTATCTGATACATGTGGAAGCTCATCACCATGCTTATGAGTATCTAAATCAGAGTTCTAAGCATCCCACCTCTACATGGAATTTCCTGAAATATTTATTGGAATGCACACTCTCTCCCTGGAAGGATGCACCCTACTTCCCTAATTCTAGAGAGTATTATGTACAGATAGGCAAGAGCCAATAAAATCAAGTTAGTCAAACATTACAGGTAAAGATTTTGTTGGGCCAGCCAGGTGTCTCACACATGTGGAAACCCATCACGATGCTTAAGAGTACCCAAACCAAAATAGAGCTCCATGCGGTAATAATTCCTTCAAAATAACTAAAAGTAATTTGGTCACTCAATCCACGACTGTTTGTGTGACACTGTTGTGCGCAATTAGCTGCTGCATTTCGCCCACAAAATATACAGTCAATTCACTTTACAGTTTCACTTTCCGTGAACTATAAAGTGCTTTGTTCCGTGCTTTGACGCCTTGAAGATGTGATAAGGCGCTATATCAAATACAAGGATTATTATTATCTCACCTACACATGGAAATTATCTTGTTTTGGAATGGAATGCACGCTCTCTCCTGGGAGGGATACGTGCTGTTTAATTCACTCCAGAGAGTGTTAGGCATAGGCTGGCAAGAGCCAAGGCTTGGGGACCAGAGCATGCATTGAGGTACTGCTGGTATTTAGAATCCCTGCTCCGAGTGACTGCTCTGCCAAGTTGCACCATGAGTTGCCTGGTCTGCAATGCCCTGGAGTACTGTGGACCAGTCTGGCTCTGAGACCATCGCAGAGGGCTGGATCAATTCCAATATTTCATTGCCAGGCGTGTCACATTGGGCCAGTTCTGCTCCAAGAAGACACCACTTACTCCACTATCCTCTTTAGTGAAGACATCTCTTTTTTGCCAATACCTGAAGTTTCTGAAATTCCACTTGTTCTCTCTTTGCTTCATTTAACCTCCTCAGTCTTTCCTCCTCTTCTTGTAGTTTTTGGGCTAGTTGGCGATCAGCCAGGAGAAATTCTAGGGACAAATATAGTTGTATAAAAAACAAAAGTAAAATAAATGTTTCATTCATCCAATATTCGGCATCTGTAAATGAAACTGAGGTTTGTTGCACAATCAGCCTTTAGATTATATGAAATCTTACCAAACTTTAAAGTGTTAACCTGGCTCAGCTGGTAGCATCTTGTGTCAAAGTCAGAAGGCTATGGGTTAAAGTCCATTTTAGGGACTCCAAATTCATGGTCTAGACTAACACTCTAATGTTGGGGGAGCGCTGCATTGTTGTGGGTGCTTTCCTTTGGATTAAAGATTAAATTAAGGTCATTAAAGAACCCATAACAGTAATTACAAAGATGAGGAGTTTCTTCCAGCATCCTAGCCAACAATCGTTAAGATGTCTCAAAGTCCTTCACAGGATATACTGTAAAGTGGATTGCCTGTGTATTTTGAGGGTAAAACGCAACAGTCAGTTTGTGCAGACCAATGTCCCACAAACAGCTATGGAATGAGTGACCAATTTTCTATGGGAGATTTATTGGCCAGGAAACCTTGAAATCGATCTGTTAAACGACAGGGAATTAGTGTCAAGTCAGGAGGTGACAAAAGCATGGACGAATATCTCAGCTGCATCTGGAGTAAGCTACAGTCGGACGCAGGCAATGTGGTAGAGGAAGACAGTCCTGGTCAGGGACTGAATGTGAGGAAGGCAGGACAGCTGTGGGCCAAGCTGATGCCTAGGTTGTGCACCGGTTCGATGAGCCTGGCGGACAGACTGAGTGGGTTTAGGAGGTTGAGCCACAGGACAGAAGGTGAATAGTGCCATGGGATCTTTAACATCCATTTGAAAGGCAGACGGGATCTTGACTTAACATCTCATCTGAGGGACAGCACCTCCAACAATGCAACATATCCTCAGCACTGCATTGGAGCATCATCTTAGACTATGTGATTCTAAGTCCTGACTTGAGGTTTGAACCTAAAATCTTGTTTTGAGTTTTCATTTTAGGAGCTGGCATGTTGGACAACTTTGTGAACCTGCTGATTAGTTTAACAGATAAAAAACATAACCCACAAAAGCCAGCCTTTTAATAAAACTAGATCAAAGAGAGAAAGGGGACACAGTGCATTACCTTCAGGTCTGTTCTCCGCTAAGTGCAAATCCACATGTTCCTGCAGTATCTGACAACTTGCAAAGACCAGGCTGCAAATGGGACATGGATACACTGCCTCCTTCCTACAACCTAATCAAGGAAAGTACAACTTAAACTAGATCAAAAAGATTTTTTTTGTAGAAATATTATCATGTTTGCATCTGATATTGGATTTGCTATCAATACTCAATTGCTGGACCATCTTACAAGAGTTTTCTTTCAAATTAACCCCAATGTCATATTTGATTGCCATTTACTATGAATGTTAAATCACAACCATAGCAAAAATTGCAAACAGTAAAAAGTACCACAGAACTTTTAAAATAGGCAATATGTTGGTGTCATGGTGTACGCATGAGGTAAAAAGGAAAGACACCCTTCCTGTAAGGAACCTGTATGAAGTAGGAGAGATGGGCTCAATATAATCATCATTAATGAAATTTACAGGCTAACTGCTCGTAAAATGGCAGCTTTCAGTATTTAATTTGATCGTGGGTGTCACACATGGAAACCAGGGAACCATTCTATTGATTAAGAGTATTCAAACCAGAAAGATTTACAATAATCTGATAAGACGAGATCAGTATGCCAGCTTTATATGGAAATTTTTACACCTAGAATGGAATGCGCACCTTCTCCCTTAAGGGATGCACCCTGCTTACCTAATTCCAGATGGCAGGTTTGCAAGAGCCAAGATTTGGCGATTCCAGAGTGTTTGTTGGGGTACTGCTGGAATTGAGCTAATTAAAATCACAGAGGGTTAATGAAAAACCATTTGAGAATGCACTCTGGCAGGCTTCCTGCTACTTGTCAAGGATCACCAACTAGGGCTTTAGCTTGTGAGGATAAAGTAATTCATTATCTTATAATAAGTCACTCCATTCCCATCACTGGTCTCTCAGTTACACAAAATGAAGTCTGGAATACACTGCTCATAATATATAATGCAAGTTTGGGTCATACCTTTTGAGGGATTTTCCATCAACTTTGCATGTTGGATTTTAACATGTTCATTCAGATCATCTCCTGAAGTTCCCAATAAACCACAAAAAGGACATTCAGGGGCATCAGTCTTCCCAAATTCTTCAGAACTACCATACATTCCTTTCTTTTCTGATCTTTTTCGATGCTGATCTTTCTCTGGTTGCTTTTGAACAGTTCCAGAAAAATGTCCACAGGAAGTATCTGAAAGCACTGATCTTCCAGATTCCCTCTTTCTGGGTAAACTTTGTCTCTCTAGTTTTTTAAACCCAGAATTAGAATTGGACATTGGAAATTCTTCAGATTTTGTCTCTTTTACCCTCTCCACCTTTGATTCTTTGTGGCCTAAGGTATTTTCAACTTTGGACTGGGACATCCCATTAGTCCACATGGAGGAATGTAGATAATTGTCTTTACCAGTTAAATTTCCATTGTGGATGGGTTCTGTCTCATTGTGAGAAATGTCTATATGGACCATCAGTTCATCATAGTTTATTCCATCCAGGCTGCAGAATGGACAGCTGCACTCATTTTCGTCATGGGCAATAAGAATGTGTATCTTCATGTCTGGCTCAGACAGGCCATCTTGTCCACAGATATCACAAGTGAACATGGTCAACCGATGGGAATCTCAATACTGTTTATAAGAAAGATCAATGATGTTAATTCTCATAAACAGCACACCTGTACAGAACAACGAGCTTTGAACATTGAACTGACCACAAATAAATTCTGTAATAATAATAAAATAATCCTTGCATTTGATATAGCGCTTTTCGCATCTTTGAGGCATCTCAAATCACTTCACAGAATATACTGTAAAGTGAATTGACTGTATATTTGTGGGCGAAATGCTGCAGCCAATTGAGCACAGCAGTGTCCCACAAACAGTCGCGGATTAAGTAACCAAATTATTATTTTTTTGAGGGATTATTATTAGGTGTGTGGAATAAGGAAACTTGCCCAAAGTTTTGCCCTGCTGGGAATCGAACCCAGGTGTCTCGCTTGCGAGGTGAGTGCTCTAACCACTGAGCTACAGGACTCCGTAATATATACAGTGCACATATGGAAAGTGGGGCATGAAATCAGTTTGATGCTACAGGTTAAAATTCGACAATCACTGAATCCTCCTTTTTTTAATGATATCACTCGTTACATTTGGAATAGTGACTTTCATCTCAGGAGATTGACCCAAAGTGCTTCACAGGGCATAAGGCAAAGTGGAGTTTTTGTGTTTATTGCTGAACGTGGCAACGAATAGGAGCGCAGTAACGTCCCGCAAACAACCCCGAAAAGACTAATCAATTTTATGGAGAGGTTTGTTGGCCACAATAGCAGGAAAACTTCCTTCTCTTCTTGAATTAGTGCCATGGGATCTTTAAAGTCCACCCGAACAAGCAGGACTATGGTACAAACAAACGCAAAGCACTGCAAATGCTGGAAGTCTGAAAACAAAAGCAGAAGTCTCTGGGAACGCTCAGCGGGTCAGGCAGCAGCAATGGAGAAAGGAAAGTGAGTCAAACGTTTCGAGTCCACGACTTCCTTCGTGAGAAGCTGTTCTGCTGAAGGGTCGTGGACTCGAAACGTTGACTCACTTTCCTTTCCCCACAGATGTGGCCCTGGACCTGCGGACGGTTCCCAGTGGCTTCTGCTCGTGTTGTCGGAATTTGGTATAAGGTCCTCTTAAAAGTACAAGTTATGAAACGACACCTTTCCTTTTATTTATTAGAAACTTAATTCGCAAGTGAACATATGTTTAAATCTGCCCCTCTGACACACACAGAGCAACGGACGAACCCACTCCCATCCCCAGACCTGGACACACAAACACCTGCCCCTCTCGACACACACACCAGACCCCCGGGGCCGTACGGACCCTCGGCACAGCCCACGGAAAGCCCTGAACATACCCGGACAGCAGCGGCACCGCCCGATCAGCTCCACCGACTTCGCCCCTCACTGCGCGCTTCCGCTTCTCTTCTCCAATCGAGTGCATTTTCGCGAACGACTATTTCCGGTGTTGCAGCTCTCTGTGTCCGGGCTCGGGGTCGGGATCAACAGCTTTGACCGTGGCGCCACCGTAAGGAATCGTCCTCCTGATCCACTTCCGGCGGGACCTGTCCCCGCCCCCTCGTCCTTCCCTTGCGTTTGGGATGCGACTCTGTGAACCTCAGGAGACGCGTCGCCATCGCCGTGCGGCCGTTTATTGAGTTGGACACGAGTGGCGAGAAGGACCCCCGCGAAGCGAAGCTTGGCACCGCAGGTCAGACACGCAGGGCTCGGGGATCGCCGCAATTTCTCTGGCCGCTGGGCCGGGGGAGAAGGAGGGGGGAACTGTACTGATGTGGGCCCGGGCTGCGGCGCCATCTTGTGAGCGCGCGCGAGGCCGCGACTGAGACCAGAGAGGACAGAGAGAGGCCCAACTGTCACCAGAGAGAGAGAGGCCAACTGTCACCAGAGAGAGGCCAACTGTCACCAGAGAGAGAGAGGTCAACTGTCACCAGAGAGAGAGGCCAACTGTCACCAGAGAGGCAGAGAGAGAGGCCAACTGTCACCAGAGAGAGAGAGGCCAACTGTCACCAGAGAGGCAGAGAGGCAGAGAGAGAGGCCAACTGTCACCAGAGAGAGGCCAACTGTCACCAGAGAGGCAGAGAGAGAGGTCAACTGTCACCAGAGAGAGAGGCCAACTGTCACCAGAGAGGCAGATAGTGAGGCCATCTGTCACCAGAGACAGAGGTCAACTGTCACCAGAGAGAGAGGCCAACTGTCACCAGAGAGAGGCCAACTGTCACCAGAGAGAGAGGCCAACTGTCACCAGAGAGAGGCCAACTGTCACCAGAGACAGAGGCGAACTGTCACCAGAGAGAGGCTAACTGTCACCAGAGAGAGGCCAACTGTCACCAGAGAGAGGCCAACTGTCACCAGAGAGGCAGAGAGAGAGGCCATCTGTCACCAGAGAGAGGCCAACTGTCACCAGAGAGAGGCCAACTGTCACCAGAGAGGCAGAGAGGCAGAGAGAGAGGCCAACTGTCACCAGAGAGAGAGAGGCCATCTGTCACCAGAGAGGCAGATAGTGAGGCCAACTGTCACCAGAGAGAGAGAGGTCAACTGTCACCAGAGAGAGAGAGGCAGAGAGAAAGGCCAACTGTCACCAGAGAGAGGCCATCTGTCACCAGAGAGGCAGATAGTGAGGCCAACTGTCACCAGAGAGAGAGAGGTCAACTGTCACCAGAGAAAGAGAGGTCAACTGTCACCAGAGAGGCAGAGAGAGAGGCCAACTGTCACCAGAGAGAGAGAGGCCATCTGTCACCAGAGACAGAGGCGAACTGTCACCAGAGAGAGAGGCCAACTGTCACCAGAGAGAGAGGCCATCTGTCACCTGAGAGAGAGGCCAACTGTCACCAGAGAGAGACCAACTGTCACCAGAGACAGAGGCGAACTGTCACCAGAGAGAGAGGCCAACTGTCACCAGAGACAGAGGCGAACTGTCACCAGAGAGAGAGGCCAACTGTCACCAGAGAGAGGCCAACTGTCACCAGAGAGAGAGGCCAACTGTCACCAGAGAGAGGCTAACTGTCACCAGAGAGGCAGAGAGGCAGAGAGAGAGGCCAACTGTCACCAGAGAGAGAGAGGCCAACTGTCACCAGAGAGAGAGAGGCCAACTGTCACCAGAGAGAGAGAGGCCAACTGTCACCAGAGAGAGAGAGGCCAACTGTCACCAGAGAGGCAGAGAGGCAGAGAGAGAGGCCAACTGTCACCAGAGAGAGAGAGGCCAACTGTCACCAGAGAGAGAGAGGCCAACTGTCACCACAGAGAGAGAGGCCAACTGTCACCAGAGAGAGAGAGGCCAACTGTCACCAGAGAGAGGCCAACTGTCACCAGAGAGGCAGAGAGAGAGGCCAAATGTCACCAGAGAGAGGCCAACTGTCACCAGAGAGGCAGAGAGAGAGGCCACTGTCACCAGAGAGAGGACAGAGAGAGAGGCCAACTGTCGCCAGAGAGGAGGAGAGAGAGGCCATCTGTCACCAGAGAGAGGGCAGCTGTAGCTCAGTGGTTAGAGCACTCACTTTGCAAGCGAGAGACCTGAGTTCAATTCCAGGCAAGTCAGGGCGAAACCTTGGGCAAGTTTCCTTACTCCACACACCTAATAATAATCCCTCCAAAACCAAAAACAATAATAAATTGGTCATTTTCAATCCACGACTGTTTGTGGGACATTGCTGTGCGCAATTGGCTGCTGCGTTCGCCCACAAATATACAGTCAATTCACTTTACAGTATATTCTGTGAAGCGCTTTGAGATGTCTAGAAGACGTGAAAACAACAACAAGATTCCATTTATAAAGCGCCTTTCACGTCGGGAGGACGTCCCAAGGCGCTGTACAGTTGGGTCAGGACTGGAGCAAGGGGGACATGGTCAGGGTGAGGGGAGGGAAGGGAGGGAGCGAGGAGGGGGTAGAGAGTCGAGAGGGGAGCTGAAGGCACGGTCAAAGAGAAAGGTCTTGAGACCGGCCTTGAAGGAGGAAAGGGAGGAGGCGGCGAAGGCACTGGGGGATAGAGTACCAGAGCCTCGGGGCTGAGAGGCTGAACGCCCGACCACCGATGGTAGGGCGGTTGGGGCGGGGGATGTGGAGCAGACCGGAGCCAGAGGAACGGTGGGTACGGGCGGGTAGGTAGGGGGATAGTAGGTCGGAGAGGTAGGAGGGAGCAAGGCCGTGAATGGCCTTGTAGTTGAGGATGAGGATCTTGAATTCGATCCTCTGGGGGATGGGGAGCCAGTGGAGGCGAGCGAGGGTGGGAGTATGTGGTCCCGAAGCCTGGTGCGGGACAGTACACGAGCTGCAGAGTTCTGAATGACCTGCAGCTTGTGGAGGGAGGTGGCGGGAAGGCCGGCGAGGAGAGAGTTCCCATAGTCCAGCCTTGAGGTGATAAAGGCGTGGACCAGAGTTTCAGCAGCGTGAGGGGTGAGGTAGTGCCGTAGTCTGGTGACATTCCGGAGGTGATGGAAGGCGGTGCCAGTTGTGGTGCGGATATCAGGAAGAAAGGACAGCTCAGGGTCGAACAGAACGCCGAGGTTCCTGACCGGCTTTGAGAGGTGGAGAGTGCAGCCTTGGATGCTGATGCTGTCAGCGCCTGAGGTGCGGAGGCGCTGACGTGAGCCAATCAGGAGGGCCTCAGTTTTACGCACGTTGAGCTGAAGAAAGTTGTCTCTGTATCAAATGCAAGGATTATTATTATTATTATTATATCTGTCACCAGAGAGGGAGCAAGAGAGGCCAAGTGCTCCCGAGATATTGTCAGGCATGAATGGCGCTATATAAATGCAAGTTGTTGTCACCAGTGAGCGAGAGAGAGAGAGGCCAACTGTCATCAGAAAGACAGAGTGTAGTCATCGGTCAGAGAGACTGAGTGTGAGAGAGAAGTGTGGATGTGTTCAGGGCTTTGTGTCACCCCTGACGTGAATGGTGCTATACAAATGCAATTTGTTGTTGTGTGTGTGTGAGACTTTAATTGTGTTGTGTTTACTAATAGCAATTTTATAATTAAGTACTATATACAAGCTAATTCAAGATGCAGTGTTTATTTGAAAGATTAGTTGTGTGTTATAGTTATAAATAACTGATTTGACATGAACAGAATCTTGCCTGATTTTAATTTTTAGTAGATGTATTATTGTAGACATGGCAAGCCCAGTGAAAGATAACTGCAGAATGAGAAGCTACAAGAACAAAGCATTAAACACTCAGGAAATGCGAAGGCGACGAGAGGAAGAGGGGATCCAGCTACGAAAACAGAAAAGGGAAGAACAGGTATGAGTGGACCAATAATTGAAATAAGGTGATTATTTAAAGAATAAGTTCAATTGCATTTTTCATTTTGCCTTTTCCCCACCTATAATTACAGCTGTTTAAACGCAGAAATGTTTCCGTCCCTGGAGGTGAGGAAGCTATGTTCGAAAGCCCCATTCAAGACCCTGACATAAGTTCCACTGTAGTATCTGCACCAGGGGTGAGTGGAAAGGCAATAAGCAGTATTTCTTTGCCTGTGTTTGAAATCTTTTTGAATCCTTATACATAAAACCTTAATTTGCAGGAAGGTGTGATTACAATGGAGATGGTGCAGATGATCTTTTCAGAAGATCCTGATCAGCAGCTTGCAGCCACACAAAAGTTTAGAAAATTGCTTTCAAAAGGTGAGAACCGATCTGAGATAGAAGGGTATGAGGAGAACGACATCATTATGTTCATAATCACCATAGTGAATTTCTGTAATTTTTATTTAATATCCTTTATTAAGTACTGTGAATGAGAAATCTCGAAGACGTGATAAGAAGCTAGATCATATGCAACAATTATTATTACTAGTAGTTGCTATGTACAGTACTAGAATTCAGGTTGTATGTAATCCAGGTTTAAAGACTGTCACTGGGTTGGGCCAGAAAGTGAAATTGAAATTTTGAAAACAGTAGTAATCTGCTTTAGTCACTATTTTTCATAACAAAATGGTGATCGCAACACTAATAATTTCTTGTCATGTTTTCCTGCTGTTTCTCTTCTTTATTTTATTTCTGTTTGCAGATAAGCTTGCAGGGCTATTTTTTGAGTATTCAAATGTAAACGTCCATAACTGATCTGAATTTCTTGTCCAAATATTTGGTTCAATAACTGCTTTTGACTTTGTGAATTTAACTGCAATTCATCCATTAAGTTAATAGAAACATGACTGTCGACAAAGAAATAGCATTGTTGATATATTGATGTTGTACATCACCTCTCAGGTCAGAAGCATGTCTCAAAACACTTCATTGTAAAGTGTAGTCTCTGTCAAATTTTTCGGCAAACTTGATTTTTATAAGGCGACTCAGCTTCTCAAACTGAAGTGGAAAAACTGTACGTGTTCTTGTATGATATAGAAACATTCTAGGAATAACATGTATGTTTTTGTATGGTTTGAGTATTGTTTTCAGGCAGCTGGATGTGTGACACATTCTGAAACCCATCATTATGCTGAAGAGAATCTAAACTGAGAGTTCGACTTATGTATGCCACTTACTCATGGAAATTTTCCTATTTAATGCACACCTTCGTCCAGGTGGGACGGACCCTGATTATCTAATTCTAGAGAGTATTAGGTTCAAGTTAATGAGAGCCAAGGCTTGGGGAGACCCCCACAGTGTGTGTTCTGGTACTGCTGGAGTTCAACTAGCTCCCTACTATCCAGCTACCGGCCCATCTCCAACCTCCCTTTTCTGTCCAAGGTCCTTGAGAGCCATTGCCTCCCAGCTTCGCTCTTTCCTCTCCTCCCACTCCCTCCATGAGCCCCTCAATCGGGTTTCTGTGATGCCCACAGCATAGAAACTGCTCTGGTCAAGGTCACAAATGACATCCTGACCATGTGTGACCAGGGCTCCCTCTGCCTCCTCGCCCTCTCCGCCGCTTTTGACACTGCCAATCCTCCTCCACCGCCTCTCCTCCCACCTCAACTTCCAAGGTTCTGTCCTTGACTGGTTCAGGTCCTCCCTTTCACACCGCGGTCACTTTGTCTCAGCTAATGGCTTCTCTTCAGCCCCCGCACCGTCTCGTGTGGCATTCCTCAGGGCTGTGTCCTCGGGCCCCTCCTCTTCACCCTCTACATGCTCCCCCTTGGTGACATCATCCGCAGACATGGGGTAAATTTCCACACGTATGCAGATGACACCCAACTCCATCTCTCTGCCTCCACCCGGAACTCCATGACTACTGGCGTCCTGATCAATTGCCTGTCCAACAACAAGTCCTGGATGAAGGACAACTTTCTCCAGCTGAAAGTCAGCAAGACTGAGGCCCTCCTGATTGGTTCGCGCCAGTGCCTCCGCACTTCGTGCGCTGGCAGCATTAGCCTCCACGAAACCTAGGTGTCTTGTTTGACCCTGAACTGTCTCCCCCACATCTGCGCCTTGACCAGCACTACCTACCACCACCTCCGCAACATTGCCAGACTCCGTCACTGCCTTACCCCTCAGGCTGCCGAAAACCTCACCCAAGCATTCGTCACATCAAGGTTCGATTATAGAAATTCCCTTCTCATCGGCCTTCCCAACTCTTCCCTTCACAAGCTGCAGATCATCCAAAACTCTGCAGCTCATGTACTCTCACACACACCAGGCTCCATGACCCCATCACTCCCACCCTTGCCCGACTCCACTGGCTCCCCATCCCTCAGAGGATCGAATTCAAGATCCTCGTCCTCACTTTCAAGGCCATCCATGGCCTTGCCCCCTCCTACCTCTCTGATCTACAGACTCCCTACCAACCTGCCCGCTCCCTCCGTTCAGCGGGCTCAGGCCTGCTCCATGTCTCCCACCTGGCCCGCCCTACCATCGGTGGCCGAGCTTTCAGCCTCCTGCCCCCACATTCAGGAACTCCATCCCACAGTCCCTTCGCCTCGCTTCCTCCCTTACCTCCTTCAAGGCTGTGCCTTCGGTTGCCCTCCCACCTCTTTGCCTTGCCTCACCCCTATCCCATCCTAGGGTCCTGACCCCTGACTGTCCAGTACCTTAGGACATGAAAGGCGCTCTATAAATATAATTTTGTTTTGTTGTTGTCCAGTTAGGAAACCCTATCCCCTAGGGCTTTGGCTTTCGGGGAAACGGGAGCCAAGTGGGAAAAAGTTCTCAATGTGGTTTAGTTGAAGGAAATGTTATCAAAATCATGTTTTATTCTCTCAAATGTAATTCACTTCCTTAATACCTATATTAATCAGAATATTTTAGAAATTTTGCAAGCTAAACCAACTGTTTCCACAACAGTTTACCTCCTATCAAAAACGCCCTTCTAGTTGTTAAGAATAGGAGCACAAGTTGGTGCAATTAAATATTCTCGACAAATGTCACCAGGAAGTATTTCTCCCTCAATTGACTTGACACAATGTATGTTAATAAAATGAAAATGTTGCGTTAGTTGTGGGGAAAAAGTTACCTGATCACAAAGGATGGGATTATTTTTGTCTCTTTATGACCTAGTTTCATAATGGTTTTCTTACCATTGCAGAACCTAATCCGCCCATAGATGAAGTCATAAATACACCTGGTGTTGTGCAGAGATTTGTGGACTTTTTGAAGAGAGATGAGAATTTTACCCTTCAAGTGAGCATACATTTCACAAATGAAAAGTTTGCTGAAGTTAGTTGTTAACTTGTTTCAAGCATTTGCATGATATCATTTAGCAACCTTGATGTATTATTTTAAATTTTTCTGATGTAGCTTTAATGTGCCTCAATGCATTGGATTTCCAGAGATTTTGTGTGATTTATATCTTTTCAATACGAGAACAGCTATCAACATGTAAAAGTTGCTTATGAGCTATATAGCACAAAGAAATATATTCTGGCATGAAAATGCTTTTGATGCTGTGCTGTTCTTTGGTAACAATGGCTATTCAAGGATATAAATGCTATGTAAATTTTGAATTTACTGCTGAGCTCTATGCTTAGTTCTGCTGCTAAATCAAGATTATAAGTAGCATTTCAAAAATACTGAATGAGACTTACCCGGGTGTCTGGTCGGAAAAGGACCAACAACAAATTACAATTGTATAGCGCCTTTCACGTCAGGATGATGTCCCAAGGCACTGGACAGTCAAGGATTTGGACACGAGCAGGGGGTTAGGATCAGGGGGGAATGGAGGGCAGGGCCGGTAGGCTGGTGGCCGAAGGCACAGTCGAAGAGGAGGGTCTTGAGATGTACCTTGAAGGAGACAAGGAAGAGAGGCCAAGGGATTGTGGGATGGAGTTCCATGGTGTGGGCAGAGAGGCTGAAGGCCCGACCCCCATGGTGTGGCGTGCCGGGTGAGGGACGTGGAGCAGGCTGGAGCCTGCTGAGTGGAGGAAACAGACAGGTTGATATGGGGTTAGCAGGTCACATAGTAGGAAGGAGCAAGACCGTGGATGGCCTTGAAGGCGAGGACAGGATTTTGAACTCTTTCCTCTGGGGGATGGGGAGTCAGCGGAGCTGGGCGAGGGTGCGGGTGATAGGATCACAGAGCCTGGTGCAGGAGAGGGCATGAGCTGCAAAGTTCTGGATGATCTGCAGCTTATGGAGGGAAAAGTTGGGAAGGCCGACATGTGGGGAGTTGGGGTAGTTTAGCCTAGTTTCGGCGGCCTGAGGGGAGACGCAGTGGCGGAGCCGGGCGATGTTGCGGAGGTGGGGGACGGCAGAGCAGATCATGGCCTGGATGTGGGGTAGAACTATATATAAAGCAAAATCTAATACTTGCAACTAAACCAACTGGAGAGCTTTTCTGTCATGTAAATGAGGACAATTCTCATGAATAAGGAAGGAAATCTGTACCTTGCCATGTCGATTGAATTTGGCTGAGTAATTGCAATGAAAGTGGATGATTATCATAAATGGAAATAGGTTTGATTTGTTAAGGTTCATTTTATTTTGCCAGAATTTACTGCACTTCTATGGTTCTAAACTTTATTAAAACATATTTCAAGTGGTGATCCCGAGAATGTGCTTTTCTACAAATTTTAACACTTCTTACTTAAAATAACCAAATATAAATTGAACCTGCATAGCTTGAAGATGCCAGCAATACAATACCCCAGACTCCATCTGGATTGCTCCAATCTCATTATAAACTGTTGAGAATTGTATTCATGCAGCAGAATATTTCAAAATTAATGGTTACCAATAAAAAGTTCCTTAATATTCTGTGAATAAAATAAGTGCTGTAAAAGTTCATGAAAAACTGTTATACCTGTGAGAATACTGAATTACTTAAAAATGCAATCCTTGACTTTTTGTGAAGTGCAGAAAGAATTGTAATGTGTGGTTGTTTGATTGAGATTCCTTTTCCTGCAGTTTGAGGCAGCATGGGCATTGACAAACATAGCCTCTGGAACATTCCTCCATACTAAAGTAGTTATTGAAGCTGACGCAGTTCCTATCTTCATTGAATTGTTAAACTCTGAATATGAGGATGTGCAAGAACAGGTAAAATATTTTGCTTCATATTAAATAGTTTAAATATTCTCTATTGGTTTGTCTGTATTTTTCTATTCTGTTTTGAACAACATTGTTCCCTCTCACAAACACAATATGGGTAACATTTGGCGTAAAACTACAGCACAAAAATCAAGTTGAGTAAAATACAAGTTTGTTTTAAAATGTTTTTCCATTTTCTCATTTGAATGATTTTATCCAGATGGAAAAACTTGAGACAATGAATTGTTATTTTAGTATTTAAATTATACTTGGTGATACTTAATGTAAAAATGACACTGAATAGAGAAAAGGACTGGGTGGTAGTTAGGTGTGTTTTCATCGATTATAGTCTGATCTATGCATTATAACCAGTGGTGAATGCTTCCCACTTGCCAAAAGTTTAAATTTCTTACAAATTACAAGCTACAATTTCTCTTTCAAAATTGTATAGCTACTTCTTGTGTGTCAGCTTGGCTCAGTTGGTAGCACTTATCTCCGAGTTAATAGGTTGTGGGTAGAACAACAACAACAAGATTACATTTGTATAGCGCCTTTCACGTTGGGAGGACGTCCCAAGGCGCTGAAGCCCCATGTCGGAACTTTGAATTCATATACTTCATTGCAGTGCAGGAGGTATGCTGCATTGTTATAGGTCCCAGCCTTTGGATGAGAACTTAAACCGAGGTCCTGTCTACCTTTTCTGCTAGATGTTAAAGATTCTGTGGGACTATTTGAAAAGAGAAGGAAGTTTCTCTTGGTGTCTTGGCTAACAAATAAAATTGATCATTCACTTTACACTTTACACCTGGCTCCTTCTGAGACAACGTCAAATAAATACAGTTTATAACAAACACAGTTTATAAGCTTAGTGCTACATTTCACCTGCTTAATGCTACATTTCACCTGCAAAAAATGTTGTCATTATACTTTACAATAAATGTTAAAGCTTTTTGAGTTGACATAAAAGGTGCTGTATCAATTGCAATTTTTCTTTTATTAACATTTGTGATTCTTAAGATTTTCGTTTTAGACTAATATATCTTTCATTCTGTAGATGACCATTGTGTATTTTATCTTACAGGCTGTCTGGGCACTGGGCAACATTGCAGGTGACAATGCTGAATGCAGAGACTTTGTCTTAAACTGCGGAATACTTCCTCCCCTTTTACAGTGAGTAAAAAACGTGTTAATCCGTATTATGGTACATAACATGGGAATTTTTTTTGATGAATTGAGTCTGTCGCAATCAGAAACCCATACTTAACAATCTTGAAACATGTCTGAGAGTTCCTAATATGTATATCATTGATACATGGGAAATTCCCTTTGTCTAGAATGTTCTCCTCGTTCCTTATTTTTTTTTCAAGTTAGTTTTGAATAAACAGAGATCAGCATTGTTTGAACATAAGACTTATTGCCAACTGTCATTCTGGCGCCTTTATCCTTTGTATAATCAGTTCTCAGCTCACAATCATCTCTTTATAAAAAAAATTGTATTCGATATTCACTTTCTCAGGAAATTGTGGTGCTAAAGTTTCATTTACCACTTCCTGTTTCTTTCACTTGTTAGGAGTGATGCTTTGGTGTGACGCTTGGATGTTAACTGTAAGGAACATGTGATGTTTTAGGTGGACCCAAGAATAATGTATCAGATAGTGAGTGCGTTTCATTTTGTTTCTTTCTGGTAGGTTAAATTCATACCAAAATTAGCTACTTGGATTAATTAATCGTGTCCTCTCTCAATGGCATTTGTAAAGCAACTAATGCAAGTAGAGGAGTTTCCACAGAATTAGAACGTTAGGATCGCAGAGAGCCAGATAGAATATATGCATAGTTCCTTAAAGTAAACTTCTGCTGAAACATATACTGTATATTTTTTTAAAATTAGGTTATTAACCAAGTCCAACAGACTTACTACAACTAGAAATGCTGTGTGGGCTTTGTCCAACTTGTGCAGAGGAAAGAATCCACCACCAGACTTTGAAAAGGTACGTTTTAGGCCATGGTTCATCTTTAGTGATAAAAGCAATGGTGGGGGTAAACCAGTTGTATAGTGAATAGAGTTGTAGGTTACAGACCAGGAACTCGCTGTTCCAAATCCTGTGATGGTTCAAATTTGTGTGGAGTTGAAAATGGCCTCTGCATTCCCAAGGTTAAAACAAAACGGTTCCTGCTTCTGGTCCCCTTACAACACTGGAGGTGTATTGCATTGTCGGAGGTGCCATCCTTCGGATGAGACTTTAAACCGAGGTCCTGTCTTCTCATTCAGGTGGATGTTAAAGTTTCAATGGCAGTATTCGAAAAGCGAAGGGAGTTTCTCCAGGTGTGCTGGCCAACAATCCCACGATTAAAATTGGTCACTCATTTCATTTCTATGTGCAACTGTGCTGCCGCGTTTCTGTACAAATACACAGTCACTTCATTTCACAATAATCCTGTGAAGGGCTTTTAAGACATCCTTCCGATGTGATAAGGTGCTATACCAAATGCAATGATTATTATAAATAGGGAGAGGTCAGGCTCGGCTGTGATGTCCTCGACAGTGGCCTGCCAAAACTCGTTGTTAATGCTCAATGTGAACATTGCCTGCTTGGGCTGGTTACTGGAGGGCATCCAAGGTCTGAACTGCACCCCAGCAAAAGGAGGCCAGACAAGGAGCAACAACAACAACAAGATTCCATTTATAGAGCGCCTTTCACGTCGGGAGGACGTCCCAAGGCGCTGTACAGTTGGGTCAGGACCCGAGCAGGGGGGAAATGGTCAGGGTGAGGGGAGGGAAGGGAGGGAACGAGGAGGGGGTAGAGAGTCGAGAGGGGAGCTGAAGGCACGATCAAAGAGAAAGGTCTTGAGACCATTCTTGAAGGAGGAAAGGGAGGAGGCGGCGAAGGCACTGGGGGATAGAGTTCCAGAGCCTAGGGGCTGAGAGGCTGAAGGCCCGGCCACCGATGGTAGAGCGGTTGGGTGTGGAGCAGACTGGAGCCAGAGGAACGGAGGGTACGGGCAGGTAGGTAGGGGGATAGTAGGTCGGAGAGGTAGGAGGGAGCGAGGCCGTGAATGGCCTTGTAGGTGAGGAAGAGGATCTTGAATTCGATCCTCTGGGGATGGGGAGCCAGTGGAGGCGAGCGAGGGTGGGAGTGATGTGGTCCTGAAGCCTGGTGCGGGACAGTACACGAGCTGCAGAGTTCTGAATGACCTGCAGCTTGTGGAGGGAGGTGGCGGGAAGGCCGGCGAGGAGAGAGTTCCCATAGTCCAGCCTTGAGGTGATAAAGGCGTGGACCAGAGTTTCAGCAGCGTGAGGGGTGAGGTAGTGCCGTAGTCTGGCGACATTCCGGAGGTGATGGAAGGCGGTGCCAGTTGTGACGCTGATATGAGGGAGAAAGGACAGCTCAGGGTCGAACAGAAGAAGCATATGCCGATGGGAGAAATATAATAGGACACGGTATTTTTTTNAAAAAAGCAACTGCTTTAACAGCTTAAATAATAATTAAATGAACATTTAAAATTACCAGTAAACTCACATAAGTTGTATCAGTCGGGACCGTAACATTTAATACAATTTACGCAAAGTATGAGTTCCAGACAAACTCGCATAAATTGTATTAGGTGTATTCTAGAGAATACTATAGAATTGAAACAGTTTGTTAATCTTCCCAATTTAAAGTGTTGCTTCAATTTCCATGTTTAATTTTAATAATTAACTACTGACAGTTATTACTGCTCATAGCTACTTTTTAGTTTGTAAAGATTTTCTAAGGAGAAATATTTCTGGAGTGGTTTATTTAGCCTTTGAACTATAAGCAAACAATTCAAGGACTCTGAGGCAGGCGATTTTTAGGTTTCAATTTGTACTGAAACTCACAAATTCAGAGTAATCTAAAGTAATTCACAGATTTAGAATAATTGAGTAGGTAGAGTAATACTAACTGGTCTGAAGCTCCTTGAGAACATCAGTACTTTCTAGTTGTTGATTGTGTACTCAGTAGACCAAAGTGTCTGTCCCACTAAATGAAATGGATCTTCTTTGGTTCCAACATAACTTCTTTTTGAAGTTGGGAAGAGGGGACGCAATCCCAAATACAGATTTAAAATAAAATTTTCTTTAGTGGGGAAAATGTTTTGGCCATTTTCATAGGGAAGTAGTTTTCATAGGGAGTAGTTGGAAGAAAATAGAACAACATGAAATCTGTTGTCTAATTTCTGGAGTTAGATAATGGTTGTATTCCTTTCTGATTGTTGTTATCTTCAAACAAGCTTTTATTGGAATATAGTCCTGGATCAGATTTTTCAAAATTCTTGGTCTAACGGTACACTGCATTCAATACATTTACTTAAATTAGGTTAGCAGAGGTTATTGACATGTATATGAAAGTACCATATTAGTTTTTTTATATTAAAAGCATTTTATATTCCATTTAGAAAATATTTGTTGAAATATTTTCCAACCTCTGCCTTTTATAATCTACATGAAATTGTTCTGCAATAGAATTTACATGAATCACTGTGAAATTTGCTACTCTGATTTTCCTCTGTTCCAGGTGTCTCCTTGTTTAAATGTATTATCCAGACTATTATTTAGCAGCGACTCTGATGTTCTGGCAGATGCCTGCTGGGCCCTATCTTACCTTTCCGATGGACCCAATGAAAAAATCCAAATAGTTATTGACTCTGGGGTTTGCAGGCGATTGGTGGAGCTTTTGATGTAAGCATTTTGGTTTATTGTCAACTATTGCCATTTGTTGAAAGAGCAGGAATTTTGGTTTAGATGGAATTTGTATTTAAATTGCAGGCTACTGAATTCCATATATAAATTATATGTAGAATATAGCATCCTTTTTATTTAAGGCACAAAAATGGTAAGTGGCCTCTGCTTTAATATGGCTTCAAACAAAAGAAGCTGATCAAATTGACATGGGTATCATTTATTGGCTTAAAATTGTTTAGAACCTTTTTAAAAAGTAAAATATGTCTTGTATGTGTACTTTACTTATCAACAAAGTTCTGCAGCGGTGAATTTTGTACTGATCTGTTGTATTTCTTGATAGGCATAATGATTATAAGGTGGTATCACCTGCACTAAGAGCGGTAGGAAACATTGTTACTGGAGATGACATCCAAACCCAGGTAAAAGCAGTTCCCTGCACTCTGGTGCTTGGGTAGTGTTTTGGGTCTTCCCTGTAGCCACCAATCAGCTTCACAAGTGTAGATGTTAATTATTTTCTCACCTGCCCTTGGTTGAATGTGTATGCTATATTGTTGAAGCATATATTCAGTAACTGCATAAAGTACTCTTTGAATCATATCAGTGCATATCTTTAAATCAACTGAACCAAAACATCTCAAATTGCACCATTATGTTTAACAACAACAACAACTTGCAATTATTTTGCACCCTTCACGTGGGATAGTGTCCGAGAGCCCTTAACAGTGGCAGAGCCTGATGCTGAGCTGGGATGCGAGAGGGAGGTGATGAGGAGGAAGAGGAAGGTCTTCAGGTGCGATCTGAAGATGGGGACAGAGGGTGCAGGACAGATTGATTGAGACAGAAAGTTCCATGGTTTGAGGATGTAATAGCTGAAAGCACGGCCACCAATGGTGGAGCGGAGGGAAAGAGGGTCGTGCAGGAGGTCGGAGCAAGTTGAGTGAAGGAGGAGTTTTTAATTTATTGAATTTTATGAATGGTTGGGCTGGGGGGACCGGTGAGGGGGGCAATGGAATAATTGATGCGACAGCTGATGAGTTCAGACAGTGTGTCTCAGGGTAAGTACAGAGTAGCTCCACTACAAGTCCTTGGGTGAGTGCAATATGCCCAGGTAGCCAATGTCCAGCACTAAAATAATAGTTGAGTTTCAGGTTGTCAGGACATCATTGTCTGCACTTTATAGAGCAATTTGAGATACTTATTAGTATTTTATTATTGGAAAAGGGCAGGGCTATTTTTGTGTAGTCATCTCAATATCTCAATTATAAAGTGTGAAAAATGGTCATCAGATTGGGTTATCAGGTTGCTGCCACCACTTTCTGAGCACTATGAGCAGGATGTCCCCTTCTGCATGGTAAGGTTTATTTAAAAAGCCCTATGGAAACTTGAGCTTGTGAGCCGACTGGCTTCTTAAGCACTTAAAATAATGTCTTGACTTTTAGATTATCCGATTGCCATCGACTTCATTTTCTGCACACTTTACAGGTCATAGCAGTTACATTGTTAGATTAGTGGAATCATAATGTGGAGATGCTACACACAATTGCAGCACATTATAAGGCTGGGTTGGGATTTTATGGAGCCCCCTCACACAAACAAACACACAGGAGTTCTACTGTATATTGAAGTACTTTGGGAGTTTAAAAATTAATGGCATAAACATTTCACTTCAGATTTCTAAATACTTTGGTATATCACTTAACTTTATTTCTGTTCATTCTACTAGGTAATTTTGAACTGTTCTGCATTGCCATGCCTTCTGCATTTGTTGAGCAGTCCAAAGGAATCTATACGGAAAGAAGCATGTTGGACAGTTTCCAACATAACTGCAGGAAACCGAGCACAAATTCAGGTTAATGCACTGTTCTTTACTGTTCAATGTATACTAAAACTTCTTTAATTGCCATGGTGTGTAAAGTAAATGATTCAACATTTAGTATGGATGTTTGTTAGCTTTTCTCTGCTGGATATTTCTACTGTGCTTTTGTGAAATGTCTTGTTTAGTGCAATGTTTTTTTAAAAAATCATTGGGCATATTGAAATGCTGAATAATATAGATGCCTGTTTTAGATACACAAACTGTTTTATGATAAAAGTGTCCTGCTGCAGATCGCTTGCCCCCTCTGCCTTAGTATTGACAGACAAGCTTTCAACCATTCGTGGAGTCCTGTAGCTCAGTGGTTAGAGCACTCGCTTTGCAAGCGAGAGACCTGAGTTCAATTCCAGGCAGAGGGCGAAACCTTGGGCAAGTTTCCTTACTCCACACGCCTAATAATAATCCCTCCAAAACCAAAAACAATAATAAATTGGTCATATTCAATCTACGACTGTTTGTGGGACATTGCTGTGCGCAATTGGCTGCCGCGTTCGCCCACAAATATACAGTCAATTCACTTTACAGTGTGTTCTGTGAAGCGCTTTGGGACGTCCTCCCGACGTGAAAAGCGCTATATCAAATGCAAGGATTATTATTATTATTATTTTTCTGCCCCTTCTTAAAAAACCTACCCTCGATCACTCAAACCTCACAAACTTCAGACCCATCTCAAATCTGCCCTTCCTGGCCAAAGTTTTGGAACGTGTCGTTGAAAATCAACTTCGCTCACACCTCTCCCTCCACTCCCTACTCAAACCTCGCAGTCCGGTTTTCGCCCTGTCCACAGAACAGAGAAAGCACTTGTCAAAGTAACAATCTGTGTCCTCTCTCTCTCTGTGACCAGGACTCCATCTGCCTCCTTGTTCTCCTTACTTCTCCACTGCGTTCATCATAGATGATTACACCATCTTCCTCCACCGCCTCTTTACCCTCATCCACCTTAGTGGAACCGCACTTGCATGATTCGAGTCCTACGTAACAAACCGCCAACAATACATCTCAGAAAATATTTTTTCTTCCTACCCCCGCCCAGTCACCTGTGGGGTACCCCAAGGCTCCATCCTTAACCCCCTTTTCCGTATCTACATGATCCCACTCGGTGATATCATCCACAGACACGGGGTCAACTTCCACATGTATGCGGATGACACCCAAATTTAGCTGCGACTCCCAGTCCGCTGATGTCCTGTCAGCTTCTTTGACGACATCAACATCTGGATGAGTGCAAATTTCCTGCAGGTGAATGTCAACAAGACAGAAGCCATACTCTTTGGCTCCCGTCAACGTCTTCTCTCCTGCGGGTCTGAACTCCTCAACCTCCCTGGGCTCTCCTTCGAACCCGTGGACAACTTAGGTGACGGGTTCGATCCTCAGCTTTCCTTTCTACCCCACATCCATTTCCTGACTAGGACCACTTTTTTCCACCTCTGTCACATTGCCTGCCTCCCTTCATACCTCACATCCAAAACCCTCATCCACACCTTTTGTCACTTTCCAGCTGGACTATTCCAATGCCCTCCTCGCTGGTCTCCCCAGCTCCACCATACACAAAATCCAATTAATTAATAACTCCGCCGGCCGCCCGGATAATCACCCGCACAAAACTCCTTACCCCCATCACACCAGTCTTTACCACATTCCACTGGCTCCCAATTATCGAACTGATCGATTTCAAGATCCACTCACTCGTTTTCAAATCCCTCGCACCTCCCTACCTATCCGATTTGCTTACCCCTCACAGTTTGTCCTTTGTCCCTTCCACTCCACCATCGGTGGCTGTGCCTTCAGCCACTACGCCCTGAGCTCTAGAACTCTCTCCCTCAATCCCTCTGCCTTGCCCCCTCCCTCCCCACCTTCAAATCCCACTTAAAAATCTGTATTTTTGATCATGCTTACAGTCAACTCCCCCCTCCCTCTCCCCCTGGCTCAGTGTCAGACTCCGCCACTATTAAGCGCTCTGGGATGCTACCCAGTGTAAAGGGCGCTCTAGTAATGCAAGTTGTTGTTCTATGGAATTCATAATTTTCTTCCAGTGGCCAACAATCCGGCAGGTAAATTGGTCATTCACTTCATGGCTGTTTGTAGACAATGCTGTGCACAAATTGGTTGCTGGGTTCGTCAACAAAATATAGTCACTACACATTGCAGGAAATCCTGTGAAGCTCTTTGAGATGAAAGGTGCAATATCAAATGCAAGGATTATCATTATTATAATGCCCTTCCAAAAGCATTCCACCTCGCACTATCCCTCTCTGCTTTCAAAACCTACCACTCATAGTAAACTGAGTGTATATTTTGTGGGCAAAACAAAATTGTTTTGAAACAAAATTGATGTACATGAAGTTGCTCTTAAATTGTTGATGTACAATGTGAGTTCTTATTACTGTAAGAATTCCCTGCATTTTAAATCCGAAAGATTTGTCTTTCTTCAATTTTTTTGTATATTCTATTACCTTTCTAGGAGCGTTAAATTTCAATATTCAACCTCAACTCTGCACTTTGTAAACAAACACATTAATATCAACAAATCATGCTTGCACTGTATATGTATTGAATATTTACCAAATTTTATTTTCTAAAAAAATTGATGATTGTTTTGATGTAAGTATTCTGGATTTCTTAATTAAAATTCACCTTTTATTTTGTATTCATATTTAGGCTGTAATAGATGCAAATATTTTCCCAGTGCTGATTGACGTTCTCCAAAAGGCAGAATTCCGCACTAGAAAAGAAGCTGCATGGGCTATCACTAATGCAACTTCTGGAGGGACTCCAGAGCAGATCAGGTAACTGATAAGTGAGGCTTCGTGAATGTTCTACCCAGTATATAGAACAATATGTGTAGAAGGTTACTCGATTATGGGTGTTCTTTTAAAAAAAAGTTAAGAGTATGACTCAAGTGAGATGAATAGACATAGTTTATAAATGGTATATGTTAACATTTTGTTTGATTTTATACTTGTGCTCTATTGTGCTTTGAAATCTTAAAACAACTTATGACCTGCATATGTTGTTTTTAGTCTCTTAATTGACTTACTGACCCTCTTCTGCTCTCACCCTCCTCCACAACACCCTCTCCTCCACACTTGACACTCTTGCCCCTATCACCTCCCGTACTGTCTCCTACTCTCGCTCCTCCCCCTTGTTCACCACCCACCTCCGCTCACTGAAGAGCCAGGTGCGGGCCGCTGAACGCACCTGGGTCAAATCTGGCTTAACGGTCCACCGAGAAATCTGGCTGGACCTCCTCAAAATCTACCGCTCCACTCTAGCCTCGGCCAAATCGTCCTTCTACTCCAGGATAATCCTGGAGGCGAAGAACAACCCCAGGCTACTGTTCTCTACCACATCCCAACTCCTCCGTCCCCCCTGCCACCCTGCGCAGGTCATCTCCTCCAACCTTCACTGCGAGGAGATGCTGGATTTCCTTGAATACAAAATCAAGGGAATTCGCTCCGCGGTCACTTCCCCTCCAACATCCACCCACACCCCACCCCCTCCCTCCCACACTCCGACTCCTACCCATCCTCCCCTACACACTTTCGTACCCGTTTCCCCACCCTCTGTCACCAAACTCATCCTATCCCTGAAACCCACCACCTGCTCCCTTGACCCCATCCCCACTCCACTCCTTATCTCCCAGCTCCACCTCCTTGCCCCACATATCACAGACATCGTCAACCTGTCCCTCTCCTCTGGCTCTGTTCCCATTCCCTTAAAAACTGCCACCATCACTCCCACCTTGAAATAACCCTCCCTTGATGCGTCGCAGCTATCAAGCTACCGGCCCATCTCCAACCTTCCCTTCCTGTCCAAGGTCCTGGAACGAGTTGTCGCCTCCCAGCTGCGCTCTTTCCAACCATTCATTATTCGAACCCCTTCAGTCGGGTTTCCGTGCTGCCCATAGCACAGAAACTGCCCTGGTCAAGGTCACCAATGACATCCTGACCATCTGTGACCAGGGCTCCCTCTGCCTCCTCGTCCTCCTCGACCTATCGGCAGCATTCGATACGGTCGACCATGCTATCCTCCTCCACCGCTTGTCCTCCCACCTCAACCTTCAAGGCCCTGTCCTTGAGTGGTTTAGGTCGTACCTCTCCCACCGTCTTCACTTTGTCTCCACGAATGGTTTTTCCTCCAGCCCACGCACTGTCTCGTGCGGTGTCCGTCAAGGCTCTGTCCTCGGTCCCCTCCTCTTCACCCTCTATATGCTCCCCTTGGTGACATCATCCGCAGACATGGGGTTAACTTCCACATGTATGCGGATGACACCCAACTCTACCTTTCCTCCTCTACCCTCAACTCCACGACCACCGATGTCCTGACAGCTGCCTGTCCGACATCGAGTCCTGGACGAGAGACAACTTTCTTCAGCTCAACGTGCGTAAAACTGAGGCCCTCCTGATTGGTTCGCGTCAGCCCCTCCGCACCTCAGGCGCTGACAGCATCAGCATCCAAGGCTGCACTCTCCTCGGGGTTCTTTTTGACCCTGTCCTTTCTCCCTCATATCCGCGCCACAACTGGCACCGCCTTCCATCACCTCCGGAAAGTCGCCAGACTACGGCACTACCTCACCCCTCACGCTGCTGAAACTCTGGTCCACGCCTTTATCACCTCAAGGCTGGACTATGGGAACTCTCTCCTCGCCGGCCTTCCCGGCACCTCCCTCCACAAACTGCAGGTCATTCAGAACTCTGCAGCTCGTGTACTGTCCCGCACCAGGCTTCGCGACCACATCACTCCCACCCTCGCTCGCCTCCACTGGCTCCCCATCCCCCAGAGGATCGAATTCAAGATCCTCATCCTCACCTACAAGGCCATTCACGGCCTTGCTCCCTCCTACCTCTCCGACCTACTATCCCCCTACCTACCTGCCCGTACCCTCCGTTCCTCTGGCTCCGGTCTGCTCCACATCCCCCGCCCCAACCGCCCTACCATCGGTGGTCGGGCCTTCAGCCTCTCAGCCCCGAGGCTCTGGAACTCTATTCCCCAGTGCCTTCGCCTTGCCTCCTCCCTTTCCTCCTTCAAGGCCGGTCTCAAGACCTTTCTCTTTGACCGAGCCTTCAGCTCCCCTCTCGACTCTCTAACCCCGCCTCGCTCCCTCCCTTCCCTCCCCTCACCCTGACCATTTCTCCCCTGCTCGGGTCCTGACCCAACTGTACAGCGCCTTGGGACGTCCTCCCGACGTGAAAGGCGCTCTTTAAATGGAATCTTGTTGTTGTTGTTGTTAAGCCATTTAAGTGATTTTAAAGATATTTTATATATTTCTGAAATAATATGTTCAGTATTGATGCATGATCTTAGTACTTTAAATATAGTAAGAATGTAACCAATCCAAGGTCTTTTCTTGATAGAAGAAAATCCTACTTCAGTAAAATGTAATGCACACAATCAAAATCTTACCAATCATTCAATTTTGGAAGAATGAGTCCTTAGGATAAAATAATTTAGACTACAGTTTGGGGCCCATTTACCCTTGTAACACTTTTAGCATGAGAATAAGTAGTGCCTTCATGGCTTCTCTTCAAGTTATCAACATAAATTAACTGGTGAGTAAAGCAGAGAAAAAGGAGGGTTGCTGATGATTACTGTAGCTGGAAGTCTGTACAAAATAGTTGCTTATCTGATAATACATGAATTTTCAACATGGTTTTAAAAAAAAGTAATGTGGAAAATTATTCAAACAATTGGCAAAAGCTGGGCCTGCATGTCTTAGGTTTCTTCTGGAATATGTTAGAATTGCTTGATTTGGAATTGACCGAAAAACTTCCATTAATACTGTGGAAAATTAGGACACAGGAAAACAATCTTGAAAGACCTGCTTAAGATGAGTCTTTTCATCCTTTCCAGCATTTGGGACAAAAAGATATTCAGATGTGGTGTTATAAGTTATTGCTGCACACAACAAAGCAATGGATGTTATTAACTGACACCGTTGTCTCCTGTTGTAGGTATCTGGTAGAATTGGGTTGTATCAAGCCACTGTGCGATTTGCTGACTGTCATGGATTCCAAAATTGTGCAGGTTGCACTGAATGGACTTGAAAACATTCTACGATTAGGAGAGCAAGAAGCCAAACTGAATGGAACTGGTATCAATCCATACTGTGCCCTAATTGAAGAAGCCTATGGTAAAAAAAATCTAATAGATATTGTTTCACTTTTTAGATAGGGTGTAGCTTGGAATGCATTTTATTGTATGGGCAGATAAATCTTTTTCTTTCCTCCTCAAAACTATTCCCCTCTTTTTTTAAGGCGTTCGAGTGAGTTTTTGTTTTTGCTGAGGTACAGTTGCTGAGGACATTCATTGGAATGTCCTCCAATAACTCGTCCAAGTGGCCATTATTCATGAGAGAATATTGATATTAAGTTCTTCACGAGCCTAATCCTGCCTCGGCCCACATTCACACAATGTTCCCTGCAGGGCGAAATATTGGGAAAGTTTCCTTACTCCACACGCCTCTGGTTACTTAATAGTAAGTAGGAGCCCAGTTGTTGTTCGAAAGGCGGATCGCTTTTCTGGGGGTAATAATTCCTTCAAAAAAAAAAATAATTTGGTCACTTCAATCCACGACTGTTTGTGGGACACTGCTGGACGCAATTGGCTGCCATGTTTCGCCCACAAAATGTACAGTCAATTCACTTTACAGTATATTCTGTGAAGCGCTTTGAGATCTTTCAAAGACGTAATAAGGCGTTATATCATATGCAAGTATTATTATTATTGTTATTGTCCACTTGGGGTGGGGAAGGTGCCATCCCAACAGGTTGCCACAAACTGCTTAATGATGATGAGTGGGAACCATGACTGAGTTTCCATTGCTGAGAAATATTAGACCAGTTAGGAATAGATTCAGATATGTATTAATAATAATCCTTGCATCTAATATAGCATTTTTCACATCGTAAGGATGTCTCAAAGCACTTCACAGTATATACTGTAAAGTGTAGTGACTGTATAGTGAACCCAGCAGCCATATTTGCCCACAGCAGTGTCCTGCAAATAGGCCTGAAGTAGTTGATCAATTTTGTTAGGGAGATTGTTGCCCGGTATACCAAGATAAACTCCCTTCTCTTTTAGAATAGTGCCATGGGATTTTTAACATCTGTCTGAACAGGCAGATGAGACCTTGGTCTAACGACTCATCCAACAATTCAAGACACCTCAACCACTGTATTGGAGTGTCAGACTAGATTTATGAGTTCAAAGTCCTGGCGTGAGGCTTGAACCCATATGACTTAGAGCCGACCGAGAGTGCTACCAACTGAGCGAAACTGATACCTAAACTTTATTACCAGACATGTATTGCATTAATTCATTACCACCTCTTCTACATTTGTGGGGTTTACTGCCTCTGGTCAAGGTAGCCCTAAACTCTTCCTTTAAAACAAATTATCCCATATCTTTTCTTCCTGCAACAAAGTGTGTGATTTATTCACAAACTGCAGGTTATTTTTAAAGTAATGGTAAACAGTTCAACTAATGCATTGGTTTATAATTTCAGGCTTAGACAAGATCGAGTTCCTCCAAAGCCATGAGAATCAGGAGATCTATCAGAAGGCTTTCGACTTGATTGAGCATTATTTTGGTATAGAAGAGGAGGACTCAAGCATTGCACCACAAGTGGATGAAAATCAGCAGCAATTCATCTTCCAGCAACCGGAGGCCCCAATGGAAGGTTTCCAGCTCTAAATGCATGATGGATGAAAATGCCTGTCATCCTTACACCACATCTAGAACTTTACGACTCTTGCGTCTTCGGAGCCAACATTATGGAAAAGCTGCTTTGTTCAAGATAAATGTGTTTGAAAGGGCAACAATGTGATGCAGCTTATGCCCCTTTCTACCGAAAGGTGAAATTTAAACTGGGGCTGTTCATTTCATATTAAACGCTACTTTATATAAGTAAATGGGTGTTGTACAGCAATCAGATATTGTTGTAAGTGATTCGGTCTGGGAATGAAAGGAGATATCAGAGTGGTGGCAAATTCTCCCTTCATCTGGGAGAGAAATTCTCCCTCATTTGCTGGCATTGCAGCAAATAATATTGCAGCCATATAGTATTGTTCTATTTAATTTAACTGTATACAGCCCTAATTTAAACATTTATTTGGGATTTGGGGCCTCAAATATTGTTAAAAGTGTGGCTTCCTCTTTATATCCAGAATAGAAAATATAGTATTTGACCAAAATTCTTTCTAAATATTACTAAGTATGCAGGACATTTCAAGGCTGCATTGTGTCCTCATTTAGAATTTCAAATTTGTAAAGTAGTTTTGCTGTCAAGAGTCAAGAATTGACATTTTGCAGCTTTAAACACAAATATCTGTGAACAGATTTTACAGATGACCCACTGGATGTCAAATCTACCTCTTCAATTAAGACAAACCTGTTTTAAAAAGTTATAATGACTTGTATAAATATTTGCAACAGCACAAGTCAAAATTCTATGTAAATGAAGACCATAATTATCAGCATTTGCTCGACTATATTGCAATATGGAAATCTGTAAATTGCATTTTATTTATAACAGACTAGAAGATAATTCCGTATGTGCTCACTCTCCATGGAGGAGACTTGAGGTTTGTAGCATTCTTGGCAAGTACCTTCATGTAAATTATTGTGTGTGTACAGGTATATACATGGACAATACATACTCACTCATGTGTTTGGCAAGTGAAATAATTGGCAAGCACTGAAACCTGATAAGGTCATATAATTATGAATTTCTGATTTTTCTGATTGGAAGCAAACTCCAGTTTTTGCCCCATTTTGCCAGAAGATAAAGTCTGTTTAAAATGGTATTTGAATTTGGCTTTGATTGTGTGATAAGGCTAAAGAGGCCAAATTAGTGCTCTTAATAACTGCTAGTTTAGGGCTCTGCTACCATGCTGATTTGTAGACTTATTGTTTACAAATTTTTCTCTCTTCAGTAACTGGCACTTGGAAGTCTTGCTCATTGTAGCAAAGTTATTTCTGTATGTTGTCTGTAGATCAAAGCTTATTTTGGTACAGTGTGTAAACTCTTACTGCAGAATATTCCCTTATGCTTGTACTATCACCACTATCATGATCGAATAGACCTCGAGTAAACAATATTAGTAACCTTGAGGACTCCCTAAAGGCGGTGAAAATTGTTCTACTGACGTCCTTATTTAAAGTAGAAAGCAAGAATATTTTGTGAAAGAAATGAGGCGTGGTTGCAGATTGTAACAATTTGTGACAGATTGTGTGTTCTAATCTACATGGAGTGTTGTAAATAAAGCTGCATAACCCCATCATTTGATTTGTAAGGGGAATTCAAATGAATTTGTGCTTCAAATGCAACTTTTGAAGACATCTTGAATTTTTCTTTAACCAATCAAGAACTAGAAATGCATGCTTATTTAGTTGCAACGTCCCATGCTATAGAGATGCAAATCCCATACTTTCAGTGTCAAAAATCCAAATATGTTAACATTGTTTTTTGCCTCCTAAAAGGTTCTTCAAAAAATCTTTCCTTTGATAGGTTAGCACCAGAATCTAGGAAAGTAGATTAGTTTAATGTTTGGCTAATTTCCTTGCATTCTTCAGTAAGTAGTTTGAATTCTGAACCTCAATTATTTAGCTTGCCAGAGGATAGATTTTCTGATGTACTTTTGGAATAGCAAAAATAAAAACATGTATTTTAGTAGTAAGAAGATGTTTATTAATCTGTACAGTGTCATAGAGTAGAAAACAACTTGACTATTGCATTATAATGAAATGCAACTGTTGTATTCTGACAAGTGAAGGGAAGAGGGGAAAAGATCCCATATCAGAAAACATACCATTGTAATTGGAAGTATTGGTTAGGTCCAAAATCCCCTGTAAGCAGCTTTAAGTACTCCAACTGATGCCTTTTCAGTGAGTGATACATCTTCTGGACTGGGTAACTTAAAAGGAAAAACTAGTTTTGTAAAAGTTGCAGTTAATTCTTGTCGAAATGCATCTTAAACCCTGAAATAATTAGAACAGTAATGCACAATAGTCTATAGTGTTTTCACATACTGGATTATGCATGGTGTGCATGGATATGTCAGTATATATAGTCAGAACACCATGGCTACTTGCATAAGTACAATTGGTAAATTTTCATGTTGCTTTCAAATGGAATACTTGCTCATCAAAAAGTTCTATAGGCATATTAGTTCCAACTAGAAGTACAATATTTAAGCCTGTTGGGATTGTTACTTAGAAACTTACTTTAGAGTAAATTTTACATAGCCATAAACATGAGAGCTAATGTACATTTGTGTTCAGTTTCTCAATATCATGAAAAAATTGATCAACTGTGATAATGTAACTACATTTTTATTAACCCTAGCAGCTGAAATGTCCTCCCCTTTCTTATCTTTTTAGGTTGTCCAGCAAATTTGCTGTGCTACTTAGTTTTATCCCTGCTGTAGAACAAAGTCACATTACATAATGTAGCCAATGACTGGGAAGATGACTCACTCATTTGGTACATTAGCTATTTGTCATGTGAAAGTAGAGCTCAGTTTTTGTATTGGTTACCCAGCACATAATCAACCTGAGCTTTTCAGTATATATGTTGCTTTTTTTTTAAAACTCCAACTAATTGTTACTGTAACATATTGGAAACAAAAAACTATTGCACCTTCATTTGCTATAACTGCAGTGCATCTACTGTATCTGCCATGCAGTTATAGAAATTATGCTGAATCTTTCTAAATAGTTCAAATATATGTTCCCTAAATTAAACCTACTTTTTTTTAAACTATTCGTACAGTTTTGATATGACTACTCATGCTTTTGGATAAATTCTTGTACTTGAGATTACTTATTTTGTACTGTTGCTGGCAACAGCCCTAGAATGAAGTGACAAGCTTCTTGTTTTCCCTCTTCCCTCCCCCCATGCTTTAATATTCTGCAAAGTATTTTGCAGGATAATATTATTCACACCAAGTTTAAAATATGTAAAAATACTTGCAGAAGAAATCTATTGTCTGGCCTGCGTTTTGGGTTATATTTGTGCACACATCTGTGGCGCGGTGTAATTTTCTTTCTTCCATTGTTGATTAGTGATCGTCCAGCAGACGTACAAAACTAATGAATTAAGTTTCATGGAATGTTTTGAAATTGGAAGGTATTATCCAGAAAGTAATGAAAAAAATAAAATCCATTCACATATTTTGGTTCTGTTTTAACTCAATGTTTTAATTGTCAGGTATGATTGCTTAAACTTGCTGGAGCTTAACTAACTATGTTAAATTTCTTAAAGGTTTTAGCATGGGCTGAAACACAAGATCCAAATTATTTTGGCTTCTAACTAAATCATATAGTGTGATCAAAATTGTTTAGTTAAATGTTTCTTTGTACAGACAATTGGTTGGTTGAAATAAAGCAAAATTGAATGTTTTTTCTTTGCTTTATCTCTTCCCTCTCTTAACTATGGCTGTATTCAGCATTCACAAGCGTATCACATCTTGGTTCCTAGTTTGCTAATAAAAGGCATTTTCATCCTCTCCAAGTATATATTTCAGTGTAATTCATCTGTCTGGATTTTACTGGGGGTGCGGGTGGGGAGAGGAAGGAGAAAGACAGTGTCTTCAACTTGTCACAATTCTCTCCACTTGAAGCTTTTGTCTTTGACAATCTCTTCCAGAGTAGTTCTTAACAGGAGCACTTTCGCTCTTGTTCTGAAAGCATCCAAGGAAGTTTTTGAAATGATTACTAAACCTGATTGTGTGGGTATTGATCAACATACCAAATTGGTAACAAAATGTGAGTCAATGCTATACAAAATTAGGTAATGCCTCATCTACCAGCAGCTGATTTAGTTGCCTTCATATCAGCAACTCCTAACTACCTCCCTTTCCTTCCAATCTTTGAAAATATTAACAATACTCCTTGCTAGAAATGACACAAGTTAGTACTGATCTAACTTCATGGTAGAACAAAGGTTTGTGATGAAGCACATTCAAAAGCAGCAGATTAACAATTAAACCTTGAATTTTAAGGGTTATCTCAATTAAAAATATCCTAACGCCTTTACAATATAAAACATTTCTATTTATTGCCGCCTTCCTTTGCCCAACTTCTTTCTACGTAAAGCTTTGAAACTGTCCCAATGCTACCTAAAACATTAACACAAATGATGGTTACTCATATCCTTGATCTCATCGGGGGAGTCTTCCAACGGTGTGATCAAGATGTACATCAGAACATTACATTTTAATAAGTGGTCAAATTAACAATTTGATTTGTTTCCAGCATTTAAATTATTGTGATTTAATAGAAACAGCTCCAGCAACCTCCTGTTCACGCAGAGCTTCCTCTCTCCATCTTGCCTTTTTTGCTCGATTCCAGCTGGTCAGGGATTCATGCCTTTCAACAGCCTGAGGAGTACACACACAAAGAAAATGCTGAAGCAAAATATACATAAACCATGACTTAATTATTTACAGATTTTTACCTCCAAAATTTATATTTCATTTCAAAATTATATTTTGCCCTCCGTAAAGATAATTCACCACCACCCTGACTGAGATCAACTAACTCAGTACAGGCTCGGGTTCCAACCTGAAAACTTTCTTTTTGGAAGAAAAAATAATTTCCAGATGTGATCATACATACATGCTTTCATTACATTGAAACTCGACTATGCAAACTCATTGCTTGTCGGCCTCCCCAACTACTCCCCCTCCACAGGCTGCAGATCATCCAGAACTCTGTAGCCCGTGTCGTCTCCTGCACTAGGCTCTGTGATCCTATCACCCCCATCCTTGCCCAACTCCACTGGCTTCCCATCGCACAGCGGATACAGTTCAAGATCCTGGCCCTCACCCTTCAAAGCCCTCCACAGTCTTGCTCCCCCCTACCTCTACGACCTAACCCCCTACCATTATGCGTACTTCCTCCGCTCAGCGGGCTCCGCTCTGCTTCACGTTCACCACCTCGCTCACCCCACTATTGGCAGGCGGGCCTTCTGCCATTCTGCCCCCATCCTCTGGAACTCTATCCCGCAGTCCCTCCGCCTCGCCCCCTCCCTTGCCACCTTCAAGACCCATTTCAAGACCCTCCTCTTTGACCGTGCTTTCGATTTCCCTGCTTCACCTCCTGCCCTCCTCCCACCCCGACCTCTGAACCGCAGCTCAGGTCCATAACTCTGTCCAGCGCCTTGGTACATCCTCCCAAAGTGAAAGGTGCTTTACAATGTCATTTTGTTGTTGTAATCTGAGTCTATAGCTTGGCAGTTGCTGAAGGCATCGTTGCATAAAATTGAGCTACAGGATTAATTTGCCAACTTGCAACCTGAAGGACGTTTTATAAAGCAAATAGCAATGTAGTTGACTAAATTAGAAGCCTAAGGCTTATGAGAAAATTGTTACAGAAATTTAGAGATACAAATGTATAGGTATTAACCTATAAAAGGAAATAACTTTAATTAGATAATGTTTCTTGATTTTAAAATGTTTTTACTAATAAATCTTTCACCATCTTAAATAGAAATGCAAAAAAGCAATGTTCTGCAGCAGTTGTAAATAACTAATTGCAACAACTTTAGTAGTTTACCATTACTGTATATACCTTGGTTTTCATTACCTGTTTTCCAGATGCAATCATAACAAAACAGGCAATAATGGTTAGAATGATCATTATGTAGCACGTCTTGACTCGAGCCCTGTTTCTTGATGCATTCAGCATGTCAAACCTGATAAAGAAAAGCTTCAGAGTAATAGATATTAACATGCTTGTCTCACTTAATAATAATGTTCTATAGCCGTTAAGTTATCTCCTTCACCTTTTCTGTTATATTTTCAACACTTTTGTTCTTTCTGAAATGTTAAACATTTGTTAATTTTAACTTAAAATGCCAAATGCAATTGGCTTATTCTTACAGTGTTTGTTTATGATTTAGGGAAAAAGACCTGTAATTTCAAGTTTTCTTCAAGCATCCTGCAGTTCCCTAAACTCAAATACAGCGATAGGTTGTTCTGTTTATTTTGTCTTGTTTTTGTCAGCTGTGCATCTGACACATGGAAATCTATCACCATGCCTAAGAGCATCCAAACCAGATTGAGTTCCATGCTTGTATGTCACATACATGTGGAAATATCCTTACGTCACACTGGAGCAAGGTAAGAGTCAAGGATGGTGGACCTGAGTGTATGTGTTAAGGTATTGCTGGAGTTTAACCAGTTAAAACTGCATTGCTTGCCATTGAGAGCACTGACTCATAAGCTTCCCGATGCTTGTCCTAGGACCACCCTACCTATTAGGCTTTTGGCTTGCAGATGAAGCAGGTGAATGGGAAGAATCCCTGCTCCCAATGACTGGTTTGCCCTCCAAGTCCTGCTGACGAGCTACGCTGGCTGGTCCAAGATTATGAGAGTTAAGGTCACAAAGATGTTAGAAGATGTGGAAGATTTCAGAAGAGTCTCAGCCCTACATCAACCTACTATACAGCTTCAAAATTAGGGACTACGGTGAGACACTCACTTGAGGAACTTTCAATACTGGAGTCCTGTAACATATTGATTAGAGCACTCGCCTCATAAGTGAGAGGACCCAGATTCGATTCCTGGGCAGGGCGAAACCTTAGGCAAGTTACTCCACACACCTCTGTTTATCTAGCAGTAAGTAGGAACCCAGTTGTTAGTTGATTGGCGGATTGGATTCCAGTGGTAATAATAAAATAAAAATAATTTGGTGACTCAATCCAGGACTGTTTGTGGGACACTGCTGTGTGCAATTGGCTGCCGCATTTCGCCTACAAACTATGCAGTCAATTCACTTTACGGTATATTCTGTTTCAATTCTGATATTGGAGTCCCGTACTGCATTGGTTAGAGCACTTGCCTTGCAAGAGAGAGGACCCAGGTTTAATTCCCGGCAAGTTTCCTTACTCCACTCACCTCTGTTTACCTAGCAGTAATTATTAGGAACCTGGTTGTTCGCCGATAGGCAGATCGCTTTCCGGGGTAATAAACCCTCAAAAAAAAATAACAGTTTGGTCACTCAATCCACAACTGTTTGTGGGACACTGCTGTCAACAATTGGCTACCGCATTTGGACCTAAAAATACAGTCAATCCACTGTACAATATAATCTGTGAAGCGCTATATAAAATGCAAGGATTATTATTATTATGGCTGGAATGACCTTTTCTTTTCAGCTCTTCCTCAGGAAATTGCTCAGCCTCTTCTCAGTGCTATTTCCTCTTCTCTCCCATCCCCAGTGACATTGCTGGGATCAACAGCTCAGTGTGTGTGTGAGAGAGATGCTGGGGTGCAAGATCAGAGGTGTGATTTCATAACATTCTGCTCCAGGACTATACAACTACATTGCCATCATTCACTTATTTGTACGGCTTCTCTGTGTCTCTCTGCCCCTCACTGTAATTTCTCTGTTGATCTAATTTAGGTCATTGCAGAGAGGAAAGGAAACAATACAAATAAAAAAGCTGCTGCTACGGTGACAAATTAGCCAATGTTTCAAATCATAGCAGACATGATTTATATTAAATTAAATGAACATTAGCTTTATAAGCAAAAAGGAAAAGCAATGTACCAGATAAGACTATAAATGTTATCATGTATTAATGCTCAGTTCACAAACTTTTTAAATCTGTTTAAATCAGTGAGATAAGTCAGAAACTCGAATGGTTTTTATTTAATGCAATTAACATCTGCCAATTGAGAGTGGTGGGATAGCTGTTTACTCTGGTGGGTACATGACCTTTTCAGTTAGTAATTGTAGAAAATTCTCATGTTTGTCTATTTGGGAAGAACAATGGAACCATTCACATTTGAAGAAATGCTTGACTCTTGTGACCCACTTTAATTCTTTGTTTATCCTTATTCTTGAAACACTGCCTAGTTTCAACGTGCTTTGTTTGTGTAGGAAAATACCGAAGATGGGAACAGGAGCTATTTGAGAGTGGTTGTGTTCTCCAATGTTGGTCACAAGTATTCTGAGGACAACTTGTACCTTTCACCCAATTCACTTCAGGAAACGTGCAAACTAGTAGATTCACATGAAAACCTCTGAGATCTGAAATTCTTCCAAGTCTTCACCCAAAACTAAAGAAAACTCTTCAATGTGTTCTTAATTCGGAAGCTGATTCTTTTTAAGAACTCTAGAAAGGCATCTTACAAATTAAGATTGAATCCCAGAATTTTCTACGTTTTCATACCACCATAAATTTTAAGACAAAATAGTCTACAAACTAAGACCAGATGAATTTCAGATCTCTCAGCACATCTAAAAGACATGGAAGTAGCCCGACTAACCCTTAGAGGAAATTAAAAGCAGCCTTGATATAGCCCTGAAAACTGTATTGACTCTGACAACCATTGCAGCATGAAATAAACAACTTTAAAAGCTAATACGTGAATCTCTCCTAGGAAATCTTTGATTATAAATACAGATGAAATACCAAGTTCATGACCAGGGCTCAAATCTGCCTCTTTATCTTGATTCCATTTTACTCCAGCATATACAGTGACATAATGGAAAAACACACCAAGTACTGAGTATTCGGTTCAGCACTTATGATGAAGAATCCTTCCAACCATCTGCCCCTTTCCATCCCATCCACCCAATGGAGCCAGGGTCACCACTATGGAAAATCATGACACTAGTGAATCACAGATTGTTTTTGTTATTACAAGCTCCCATATTTCAGAAGCGAATGTTGGTTTAACAACCAACATTTAAAAAGTGGCTTAGATGCTATTACACAACTCTTCTTTTCCCACAGCCTAGTTTCCCTGACAATTCTGGCAACAGAATATGGCTTTCCATACTTTTGGGAGAATCAGTACCTTACTACTGGATCCCTGTAGAGTATTGATTAGATCACTCGCCTCGCAAGTAAGAAGACCTGGGTTCAATTCCCGGGCAGAGCAAAAAGTTTTCGTACTACACTTGTCTCTGTTTACCTAGCAGTAATTAGGAACCCATTTTTTAGCCAATAGGTGGATCGTTTTCTGGGGTAATAATCCTTCAAAAAGAAAAAACACTTGGTCACTCAACCCACGATTGTTTGTGGGACATTGCTGTATGCAATTCGTTGCCACATTTTGCCCAAAAAATATACAGTCAATTCACTATACAGTTTATTCTGTGAAGCTCTGAGACATCTCAATGATGTGATAAGGCGCTATATCAAATGCAAGGATTATTAATATTATTTGATCATTGCCCTGAATTTAGGAAAGGTTTGTCAAGATTTACAACAACAAAATCACATTTGTATAGCGCATTTCATGTCGGGAGGATGTCCCAAGGCGCTGGACAGTCAGTGTTTTGGACATGAGCTGGGGATCGGGAATGGGGAGGGTGAAGGGCAGGGGGGGGAGGAGGGTTGAAAAGCACAGTCGAAGAGGGTCTTGAGATAGGTTTTGAAAGAGGCAAGGGAGGGGGCAAGGCGGAGGGACTGCGGGATGGAGTTCCAGAGAGTGGGGGCAGAATGGCAGAAGGCCCCCCTGCTAATGGTGGGGCGGGCGAGGCTGGGGACATGAAGCAGGCTGGAGCCCGCTGAGCGGAGGGAGGGGCAGGATGGTAGGGGGTTAGGAGGTTGAGGAGGTAGGGGGGAGCAAGGTCATGGAGGGCTTTGAAGCTGAAGACCAGAATCTCGAACTGTATCCTCTGTGTGATGGGAAGCCAGTGCAATCGGGCAAGGATGGGAGTGATAGGGTCATGGATTCTGGTGCGGGAGAGGACATGGGCTTCAGAGTTCTGGATGACCTACAACCTATGGTGAGAGGAGTTGGGGAGGCCGTCAAGCAAGATTTTGCATAGTCAAGCCTTGATGTTATGAATGCGTGTATGAGGGTTTCAGCAGCCTGCAGTGTGAGACAGTGTCGGAGCCGGGCGATGTTGCAGAGGTGGGGAAGATAGAGCAGGTCATGGCACAGATGTGGGGAAGAAAGGATAGTTGAGGGTCAAACAAGACGACTAGGTTCTGGACTGGCTTAGTAAGGTGCAGTGTGTATCCTTGGATTTTGATGGTGTCAGATCCTGAGGTGTGGAGGGCCTCGTTCTTGTTTACATTCACTGAAAAAAGTTAGCTCTCATCCAGGACTTGATGTCTGATAGACATTCTGTCAGGACAGCAGTGGTCCTGGAATCAAGGGTGGAGGCAGAGAGATAGAGTTGGGTGTCATCCACATACATGTGGAAGTTGACCCCATGTCTGCAGATGATGTTACCATGGGGGAGTACATAGATATTGAAGAGGAGGGGACCAAGGACAGAAACTTGAGAAACGCAGCACAAGATGGTGTGGGGCCTAGAGGAGAAACCGTTTGTGGAGATGAAGTGGAGGGTGTGTGAGAGGTATGATCTGAACTATTCAAGCACAGAACCGTGAAGGTTGGGATGAGAGGAGAGATGGTGGATGAGGATAGAGTGGTCACCGGTGTTGAAGGTAACAGGGAGGTCAAGGAGGACGAGGAGGCAGAGGGAGCCCTGGTCGCAGATGGACAGAATGTCAATCGTCATTTTGACCAGAGCTGTTTCTGTGCTGTGGGCGACACGGAAACCCGATTGGAGGGGTTCGTGAAGGGAGTGGCGGGAGAGGAAGGAGCGAAGCTGGGAAGCAACGACTCGTTCCAGGACCTTGGAGAGGAAAGTGAGGTTGGAGATGGTGCAGTAGTTTGGAAGCAGGAATGAGTCCAAGGAGGGTTTTTCTAAGGATAGGAGTGG